GTGTCTGAAGAAGTGGGTCTTGATTACAATAGTTCTCCTATGAAATAAACCAGTCTTGAATATTTTGTTCTCTGTCCCACCTCCCCCAGCCTTTTCCCTTTAGTTTTACCAACATGCTGACAATAATATACTGTACTCTGTTTCCCTGAAAATAAGACCTTTTAGATTAGGCATCCTTCAGTCTCAAGAGACTATGGTAACGTGCACTGAGTAGAGGACTTGTAACAGTGGCTGGTGTGGGTGAGAAGGCCAATTCCAGAGTGACAATCCCATCTGCACTGAAGACAAATCCAATCTGTCCCCCTCTCCAGTTCCCCGATTTTGCTGGTTTCGGGACTGCCTCTTTGCCTTGGCCTGCTGGACAAGTGTCTCTTCAAATTGGGAGAGGCCATGATGAGGCTGAATGCTCAGATATCAAGGTTTCCCATCTGTTGAGGTCAATTCTTAGGGCCTTCAGATCCTACTTGCAGATATTAATTGTATCACAGCTGTGGTCTCTTTCTGGGGCAATTTCCCTGCAATAATTCTCCATACATGAGATCTTTTGGAATCCAACCATCAGCCATTCTCACGACATATCCGAACCCTGAAAATAAGACCTAACCTGAAAATAATCCTTATTACAGTGGTGCCTCGCAAGACAATTGCCTCGCAGGACGATTAATCCGCAAGACGATTGGTTTTTGCAATTGTTGCGCTTCACAAGACAATGTTTTCTATGGATAATTTTCGCAAGACGATGGTTTTTCCCCATTGGAACGCATTAGATTTCAGTGCATTCCAATGGGGAACCGCGTTTCGCAAGACAATGTTTTCGCAAGACAGCATTTTTCTTGGAACGAATTAACATCGTCTTGCGAGGCACCACTGTACGATTTTTGGGATGCTCGTAATAGGAACTCTACCCTAAAAATAAGCTCCAGTTAAGTGAAACCCCACCCTCCACCATTGTGCAGGAACCAGAGGATTGCATGACTGTATTTGAATAAATGTAGATTGTTGTACATAGGAAAAAAAAATCCCCTGAAAATAAGCCCAAATGTTTTTTGGAGCAAAAATTAATGTAAGGCCCTATTTCATTTTTGGGGAAACGTGGCTATTTCTTTGTAATATGTACTGTATACCGTAAGCACATACAGTATATCACTCAAATCCAAGAAGCGTTTTTGCACCTGCTAAGTACTGGAGAAAATAAACTTGCATGCAACCCAATTCTAGGTTTCTGTGGGATGAGGAAGCATTTACAAACTAAGATGACAATCTTCTGCCACTAGCCAATTAGCACAATTCTTTTCCCCTGCCTCTGACTTGCCCCTTCTTTCTTCCTGTTTGCTTCACTTCCATTCTGTTTGCTCTCCCATCTTTGATCTCTGACCAAAGCAGACATAATTCTCTGCTCCCGATCTCCGATCATGCAGCTGCATGGTGGACCGTCTCCCATATGGTTGACTGCAATTTTTCCTCTCTTTTATACTTCTGACTGTAACTGAAGATCTCAATTGCCAGCAAATATACTTTTCCTACTAAAAGATAATTTAAAAGTGATTTTTAACATACAAAGTGCTAGTTACTGTGAAGGGGGCAGATGTGGAAAACTTTAGCTACTTCTCTCACATGTTTTTCTGCTGTCATTGATTTGTTTTATACCTTATATTCAGCTAATTAAAAAGGAGGGGGGAGGAATTACCAAATCCCAACATGAAATACTGCCAATGTTGTAAAGAAGCAGATACCGGATGGCCAGTGTTTGTGAATTGCTGCTAAATGCCTTCTTTTGATCATTCTTTGTCTACTTTAGAAATATTGAGTTGGAGCCACATTTACTGATACTCAGTTGGCCCAGTGAAATTAATGCAACTTAAAAGCCTATTGCTTTATCATTTTACATCTATAACCTGCTCTTTTGCTGGAGAAATGTTAGTAAATCGGCTCTGTTACTTAACACTAGATATGACTTTAATCTATTCAGCTCACCAGAAACAATATGTGTGTTGGTCTTCTTTTGGCTTCAACCATATGTTGAAGCCAAATCTTTCAGTGTTCCACTGTGACGCAGATGCAGCTCAGGTTGCAGCACTCTCTTGTGTTAAGTAAAAATACAGTTTGTGTGCAGACAAAAGCATTTATAATTTTAAACATCAAACAACAAACAAAACTGTTGTGGCATTGCTGTATTTTAACATGAACTTTCATGGATCAAGATATGTATAATTATAATCCTGTATCTGTTTCCCTGCCTGGTCATAAGACCACATGTAGGCATGTCTCACTCTTACCCGTATTTGCCGGCGTATAAGACGACTGGGTGTATAAGACGAGCCCCCAACATTTCCACTCAAAATATAGTTTGTTATATACTCGCCGTATAAGACTACCCTTTCTTCTGCACACTTTCCACACACCAAATAAAAGGTGCTATTCATTGTCACCATTGTACAACCGCAGCACGACTGCAGCACCTTCTGCCTGCCCCTGCATCTCCCTGTGACCGGCAATAGTGTGCAAGTGCGCATGTGTGAGCTGTGCGTAGACAAGGGGTGGGCCGGAGTGCCGCTGCTTCTGGCCGAGCAGAACGGGCCGGTCACGTCGAAAAGGCTGGCACCCCTGTCTCACTGCTGGTGCTCGCCGCAGCCACGCTGGATACTGCGCAATACTGGACGGTATGTAGAATGAGGTGGGCAGGCATCGGAAAGCCACTATGGGCAGCTATGTCTATCCCAACTGAAGTGCACCCGGCGTATAAGACGACCCCCCCCACTTGGAGGCATGTTTTTCAGGGCAAAAAAGTAGTCTTCTACGCCAGCAAATACAGTATATCTGAAGAAGTGTACTTGATTTATGACAGCTCACACCGGACCGCGGAACCAGTCTGCAGAACAGGCAGAGGATTGTAGCTTAACATTCTTGTTTACTCAGAACCAAGTCAACTACACTCCTGATTGAGTCTCTTGCAGACCAGTCCTCCAGAACACTTACTTCATTCACCCCTCTTATCTCCCTCTAGTATCAGTATGTTTCACAATCCTCTCCATTACTTCTTTTCCTTCCTTCACCTCTGCTGCCTGTTCAAATCAACAGAGACAGTAGTGTGAGGCAGCAACTACTTGAATCATTTTGTCCTTTAAGCAGCAGGCACATCACTTTTAACTTCGGGCAGGAGATGTGGAAAGTATCAGTGGCAGCTGCCTCCAAAGAACAAGGCAAATAGATAACTAAGCTCAGCTAACAGAGTTAACTAGCACCATTTAACCATTCTGGATTCCTCATGTTTATACAAGATCTATTTATAAGTTACAGGCCTTTGTTCCAAAGTTGTACTCCAATGTTGTCTGGCATCACACCATATTCTATATATTTTGCAGACATAATTCGCCCAACAGTTATCTTTTAAAAGAAAAAAGAAAGAAAAGAAAAGAAAGGGGGGGTAAAGGTAAAGGTTCCCCTTGACAATTTTTTTGTCCCGTTTCCAAGCCATAGAGCCAGCGTTTTGTCCAAAGACAATCTTCCGTGGTCACATGGCCAGTGCGACTTAGACACGGAACGCTGTTACCTTCCCACTGAGGTGGTCTCTATTGATCTACTTGCATTTGCATGCTTTCAAACCGCTAGGTTGGCGGGAGCTGGGACAAGCGACAGGCGCTCACTCCGTCACGTGGATTCGATCTTACGACTGCTGGTCTTCTGACCCTGCAGCACAGGCTTCTGCGGTTTAGCCTGCAGCGCCTGTGCTGGGGGACACCAGACAAAAGAGCAATAGAAAGAAAATAAGGAGGCTTTATCCAGTGATGATCAAAGATGATCTAAGCAGTTCTATTTACATACATCTTTTCTTACAAAGTTAATATTTGAAACATTCCACTGCCTCTCTTCTGTCAGCTGTAAGTTTAACACATAGGTTTAAATTGTAAGTGGGCAAACTGTGGGCCTGGGGTCATATGCAGCCTCTATCTGCCAGCTGCTTCTGCAGTGCCTAGCACTCTCCCTTTTCCCAGAAAAAGAGGCAAACTTTCACATCTAAGAGTGCTTGATCACCTTTTAAACAGCCCACAGCCCACTCCATACCATTTAACACCCCAAAATATCCACTTTATGAAACTGGAAGTGGACATCCAGCCACTTCAGTTTTTACAGTCTGTGCAACAATCTGGAGAATCCAGAAAATAAAAGTAGCTCTAGGATCCACCGTAGTTGCCCACTCCAAGTTTAAATAAATATGAATATCCATTATTATTGAATCACAAAGTTTCCAACCAACGTTAGCACTATTAATCAGTATTAATCCAACAAACGTTAGCACTATTAATCAGTAATAAAATCCTAATGCATGGGAGGCCTTAAGCATGTGAATACATAGGGAAATGAGTGCTCTATGTGGTTTGAGGCATTTTCCATGTATAATTCCCCCATGCCCCCAAAATCACACAGTAAATACAGGGAGTGGCCTAAGATCTTTTTACTGTAATCTTTGCAACTCAAGAACAAGTAGAAACAAGATGACCTCACCTACAATTTTAAGCAAAAAAAGTGTTTAGAAGGAATAACTTATATCAGATACTTGATTTAAAAGAGAATATCTGCAGCATAAATATGGACACAAAATCTTTGAGTGTTGGTTCACAAGCTTCAGCTCCAAACAGAAAAATGGTGAAGAGAGAAATTCATACAATTGTTTCAGTGGCGATGCAACGTAGCTTTTTCCTCTGCTAGCTTTATACAAATACACAATATATAAGAGCAACTTAAAGTAGCTTTCCCAGTCTGGTGCCTTTCAGCTGCTTTGGGTGACAATTCCTATCAGCTTTAATCACTGGCCATGTTGGCTCAGTTTGATCAGGGTTGCAGTCTGAAACTTCCGGAGACACCAAGTTGGAAAGGACTAACATGAGGTGCTCAACATACACGCCCATGAAATCAAAACTCATTTAGGAGATCTGTAATACTTTCAAACTGAAGTCCAATTGTTACCAGTTCTATAACAGTGTTCCAAAGGAAACCATAAATTTCAATTGCATTATATTTATTAATATTTAACTCTAAGAAAACCAATACAAATCTACCAAGACAAATCTGCACAGCCAAAAAAGGTAATACATATACATTCAGAACTCTAGATATCCAGAGAAAGTTAGAAATAGACTTGCTTGAGCTCTGCATTGCTAGATTTTATCACATGTGAAGCAATAAGCTAGAATGTAAAGCCTCTTAAGAGTCTGCTGCGTGATGTGCTTCATCCACAACCATGGATCAACAGTTGTCTGGTAAAACTGTAGGTTCATCAGATCTGTACCAAGGACCTTCCAATAAATATGTCAGATTGGATGAAGACCACTAATAGGAGCGAATAGCAGGTGGAACCATTGCACAGTCTTCTTCATTCAGAGTTTTGTCAATTACAGGTCTATATTCCAGAGTAACCTTGTTTCAAAAGAAGAAGAAAAGTATTTATTAAAAAGCTGATTAATCAAAAAGAGAAACTATTGCTAATTTTGCACACTTGCACATTCATTCACCTCATCATAATCTAAATGAGAAATTACTTTATACTTTAATACAGTGGTTCCCAACTCTTGGGTAACCCAGGGATTCTTGGACTGCAATTCCCAGAAACCCTAACCAATACAACTGGTGGTCAAGCTTCTGGGAATTGCAGTCCAAGAACATCTGTGTTACCTAAGGTTGGGAACCACTGCTTTAATATATTCTAATAAATTTATTTATTTACTTTATGTTCAAATCAGATTTTCTATGTCTGTAAGTTAGAAGTGCACAATTTCTTGGTGTGAAAAAACTTAGATTCTTTAAGCTTGGGGGAAAGGGAAGAGTAATATATTCTAGACTGAGGTGAAAAACTGAAGACTTTCCTGACATGTATGAACTAGAACCAACATGTCTTAGGGCTTTCTTAAACTTCTAGGATCAGCATGCAGCACAGGTAAAATTCATAATTTCAAAATCAAGGAAAAGGAGGGGGCTTACATACCTTTCCACTCTTGATGTCTACATAAGAGAGGGTATGCTTTCTCCAATGCTGATCAAATGGTTTCTTCTGTTGTCCTTGGAGTGGTTTAGAATAGTCATATTCATCTATTCTTACCTAAGCAATATAACAAAAGTGTAAAATAATGGCAACAGCTTTAAGTCTCTATTTAGAAGACATCGGCAATGTTTCTAAAACAAATGGAAAAGAGACTTCAAACAGGTATCTTGAGGGACTGATTGTCACACTGAAATTAGGATGTAATGTACTCTCAGGAGTGTAGACTTCTATAAATTCTGCCTGAACCATTTATTTGGAAGAGATTTCAAAAAGGCAAATGAGGTTAAACAAGGAAATATATTCCTTACAAAACAGTTAAGTATGTATGGTGACTTAGTAGCTCAGTTTAAAAACAACAACAGTAAGTCTGCAACAATGAAAAAGAAATTAAGATTTCTCTGTACAGAAATGTGCCAATGTTGGTTTAAAGCTATGTTTCCAAAAATCTTTTGAAATTATCAATTCCTTCTGAACTACTTCTATTTTGTGCTCCCACCCTTGACCACACATTTAAAATATGCTACAGAAGTTGATGTGTGGAGATTTCTGTGGTTACAGAATATAGTGATTCCATTATTAATTAAAAAGGTGGTATTAGAACCTTAAAAGAACAAGATCTCTCTGCCCTTGACCTCAGCAACACAAAGGAGATAATCTAAGGCAGTGGTCCCCAACCTTAGGCCTCCAGATGTTCTTGAACTTCAACTCCCAGAAATCCTGGCCATCAGAGGTGGTGGTGAAAGCTTCTGGGAGTTGTAGTCCAAGAACATCTAGAGGCCTGAGGTTGGGGACCACTGATCTAAGGAACAAGACAACTGCTGTTCTCAAATTCACTTCTTCCTAAACCATGGTGGAATGATAGGAATAGCCTTGAGATGCAGTTTTATATTTTCTAACAAAGTAAAAGGTTCTGAGGATGAGACACAGAGGGACATCTACCACGATGTAAACAGGATTCATTATATGTACTGCTGTTCTCAAATTCACTTCTTCCTAACCCACGGTGGAATGACAGGAATAGCCTTGAGATGCACTTTTATGTTTTCTGACAAAGTAAAAGGTTCTGAGGATGAAAGACACAGAGGGACATCTACCACAATGTAAACAGGATTCATTATATGCCAGTTCTTTAACATATGAATATAATGTTAAAGAATGTAATGTAATGTAATACAATGTAATTTTTTTCAGATGAAGAACTTTAACATATGAATATAATGTTAAAGAATATAATGTAATACAATGTAAATTCTTTCAGATGAAGAAACAAAGAAAGAAGTTACTAATCAGTGACAGGATTAAATAAAGCTCTGTGTGTATCTTTCTAAGTTTCAGTGACAAGCTATGAAAAAACTGTGCAAGCACAGCCCTGTACTTTTAAAATGCAAAGCTATGATCACAACTGACTGAATAACATTTTACTTTTTTCATTATAGTCAAAATTCAATAACCAAAATCTAGAAAAGTAAGGATTTCCAAATCTTAACTTGAGGAAGCCATTACTGCAGGCATGAATTCTGAGGAAGACAGCTCAACAGAAAGCAGAAATATGTGCAGATATCATCCTTACCACAAAAACACTCTCCACTGGACTGAAAGTATCATGGTAGCATGGGAGGCACCACAGCAGGAGGGGACAGCATGTAAATCATAGATGCATACCTTATAATCCTCCCTAGCATGAGCACCACGTGACTCTTTCCGAGCTTCTGCACCATAAATAGTTTGTAAGGAACAAAGCATTAGATTCTGTAGTTCCAAAGTCTCCACCAAGTCAGTATTCCACACAATGCCTAGGGTAAAAAAAAAAAAGGGTTGAAAAGAGAATTAGAAGGAATAGAGAAGTTATTTAATTAATTCTGATCATGCTTCCTCTCAATAAAGTTCAACAAGTACCAGCAGGAAAAGTACACAAATGATGAAGTACACAAAGTATACAAACATTTCCTAATAGGTCAAGGTTACAATTCTCAATGTTCGCCTAGGAATAAGCATGACTGAACACTGTGGGGCCACTTACAAACAAATGTGCATTTAACCAAACCAACTTTGCAGGTTTTTTATATGAAATTGTCTCATGTTATGGCACAGAAAACTGACTCACATGTTCTTTAATATCTTATAATCAAGATCAATGTAAATTCTGTACCAGTTTCTAAAATCCTTGTTTGTATTTTCAATTGTCACCACAAGAAACAACTTTTTCCCCTCTGTGGAAGTGACTTTCTTTGCCCCTCTCCTTACTCTAGAAGTGTAGTCTGTGTCAACTTTTGCAAAGTTCATCCTTCTGTGAGAGGCCACTTGCCAACAGACATAGTTCCATTCTTTGCCAAACTGTGCTTGTTTGTTTTTCTAGCTCCTCTTCAGGGCACTTATCTCCTCACTGATGGAAGGTTTATTTCATTAGGACTTGCCTCCATACTTTGTAAATATATGATTAATAATAAGCTTTCAAATAAATGATCAGCAGGTATTTGATTTGTGCCTCGTTCTGACTCATGTTCACGCATAAACACAAAACATGCTGCCTTTTTAGAAGGCACGTCTTCTATGCATTCTCAGGTTCTGTCAGACAAATCCTGACATTCAAAAAGTATTCCTTAGCAACAAAGGTTCTCGCCCAGAATACCTAACATTCATTTATTTCCTTTCCCACTGCACCAGGCAGCTTGCACATTATAATGTAAAATGACAGGCAAATGTTTCACATGCTCTCAGGCACAAAAGACAGTGGTTGGAGGCCTGATCCATTCTCTATCTGAAGAGAGAATGTATTCTGGAACATCCTCCAGAATCCCCACAGATAGGTCAACTGGACAGTGCTTCTGAAAACTGAAAGTTTGAAAAGCTATGCTAGATATTTGCCAAATAGATACTTAGAAATGTACATTATACAAGTTTTTACTTTTGACATTTTCTTTGCTGTCTCATTATCACTTCCCTTTGGGACAAAGTGAAGTCCAAAGTGGCTGTTTAGCACAACCACACTTACTCCCAAGTTTTTAGACTTTTAAGAAAACATTGTTAACAGTACTAAACAATGTAGCAACTGATATTCAGTCTACCTCTGTCAAATGTCTTCAAGTCATCCAAACTGTTATATATGCTGGAAATTTTCTCACAACCTTCCTGTAGGACAGAACCTGTGCGGAACACTGCAGCATGGCTTTGCATTGTCTAGGAATAGATCAAGATCAAAAAGCAAAACAGTTATTGAACATTTCAAGAACCCTGTAAACTTCTGGAAATGACTTAAGGACAGTTTGATCTATAGATGACAAAATAGTTATACAAAAAGCAAAACAGTTATTGAACATTTCAGGAACCCTGTAAAACTTCTGACTTAAGGACAGCTTGATCCCCTATAGATGACAAAATAGTTATTATTAGCGTAAAAACATAACTGAACATAGCCAAATCTTTTTCAACCAGTCTATAATCAAATACACAGCAAAATCTACAGCAAATGACTATTTCCATTCTGGGAAAAAATCCTCTGGTCTGATATGCCAGGTTAGCTTTCCTGTGTGGAATTACCAATATTTTTCCATTTATAAGAAGACCCAATGTATAAGATGGCCCCCTTTTCTAACCCCATATTAGAAAAAGAAGGGCTCAAAGGGCTCCCTTTTTGCTAAACCCCATGCCTTGGCAAAAGGCAAGGAAAGCAACTGTCAAAGTGACTGCTGCTTTTCCTTGCCTTTTGAGAAAGCACAGCACTTAGCAAAAAGGAAGAGAGAAACACCTCCCCTTCCTTTTTGCTAAGCCCCATGCCTTTGCAAAAGGCAGCAGTAAAGAGCTGCCTTCTGTATATAAAATGACCCTCAATTTTTTCTCAAATTATTTAAGTGAAAACTGTTGTTTTATACATGGAAAAATACTGCCCATCTGGCTACCAAGACCACTCTGGGCGGTTTACAAATACCATATTTACAAAACAATACATGATTAACAACTAAAGCAAAGTGCAACACTAACAAAAATAAAATTATTAAAATAATTAAATAATAAAGACATGATGAAGGGTTGAATGTATAGTTTTTAAAAGCACCATTATATTAAGATATTCTAGAGTCCGGGAAGGCCTGTCTAAACGGCCATGTTTTTAGTACTTTTGAAAGTTCCAAATGGAGGGGCCAGGCAAATTTCAGGCGGGAAACTATTCCAAGGTTGCGGAGGGACTGCCAAGAAGGCCCCAAATTAAATAATAAAGACATGATGAAGGGTTGAATGTATAGTTTTTAAAAGCACCATTATATTAAGATATTCTAGAGTCCGGGAAGGCCTGTCTAAACGGCCATGTTTTTAGTACTTTTGAAAGTTCCAAATGGAGGGGCCAGGCAAATTTCAGGCGGGAAACTATTCCAAGGTTGCGGAGGGACTGCCAAGAAGGCCCCATTTCTGGTCATCATTTTCCAGGCCTCTCTCAGGGATCAAAACTCTCAATGGCCCGAGAAGGGACTGCCAAGAAGGCCCCATTTCTGGTCATCATTTTCCAGGCCTCTCTCAGGGATCAAAACTCTCAACCGCTTGGCCCGAGAAGATCTTACAGGACATTACACATTACTGTATAATCCCAGTGACAACCTGTCACCATTCAGTCCGTGCACGTCATATCTCTTTCTCCACAATGTATCTGAAATGTCTCTGCATAGTCACCAAGTCATGCTGTATCTATCTTATTAATATTTTTTCTGACCTTTTGCATATTAAGCCTCAATTCTGATGTTCTCATGCTTCCATTGGCAAAGCGTAGTTTGTCCAAGTTTGCGACAGATTCTTCACCTGCATTTGGTTTAACTGGTGGAACTGGTTCTCCTAACAAGAACAAACAAAAGAATAATGTAACTACATTTTAATCTGGAAAAATACAGACAATAATTTATTATTTCTTATTTGAGAAGTTACAGTGGTTGATATCCTGTTGCTCAGAGTAGTAAATTCTAACTAGGGTAGGCTTATTTAAACAATGGAACTTATGGAAGATTTGACTCAAGAAATCTTTATGAGTCAATAGGCCTATTTTAGTTATAACTTACTATACTATGCAAATTGTAATGCCAATAAAGGTTTCTGTATGTACTAAACAACAGAATTTCAGCCTGTGAGTTTTCAGACAGTTAAAATACACAAAGCTAAAATTTAAGTAATAATAATAATAAAACACCATAATATAAAACTACCTCTGCCCTCAAGGAATAACGAATGACAGAGCTAATCAATTGGTATTGTTTATGGGTAGAATGGACAAGAAACAGCTAGCATAAATCAACAGCTCTTGTCAAATTGCAGAATAGACTAGCTAAACCCTTCTGCTAGATCTATGACCTAATAGACAGAAGTCCTGTTGCTCTGTTATGCATGCAGAAGGCATAACATGAAGATGCACTCACTTTTAATAATAATAACAATTTGTCAGCAAGTCGATTCTGACTTATGGTGACTTTTTTTCGGAGTCTGCTAAGTAGAGAGCATTCAGAAGTGGTTTACTATTCCCTTCTTCTGGGAACATCCTGGGACTTTACAGCTTGCCCATGGCTACACAAGCTGGCTTTTCTGGGATGCCCAGTGTGGAACTGAACTCCCACCTCCGGCTCTGCAGACAGATATCTAACTTACTGAGTTACTCAGCACTCACTTCTAGCTGGCAATTAATGAACTGCCAATGTGTCAAGATGTGGAATTCTGAATATACAGAGTGATAAAATATTTATTTCTTCTAAAAAGAAGCCCTGAAAGTGTATACTGTGTTTGAAAAATGAGGTCTGAACAGCAGTTGCCTAAAAGTCACTGCAAAACCATCAGCTCCAGCCAAGTCTCAGAGCAAGGTCACTGTACAGTAACATTGCCTTTCATGCCTGTCAGTATCTGGCAGTTGCTCATAATAAAGAACTGAGCAAGGTCACTGTACAATAACATTGCCTTTCATGCCTGCCAGTGTCTGGCAGTTGCTCCTAAGAATAAAGAACTAAGAAAAAAATTTGGTCCTTGAGTAAGTTAGCCCATCAGCAATTTAGATCCATGGTGTTTGTAGACCATGTGAATTGCTCTACTTTATTTTACTAGACTCCTTTATTTTACACCACTATAATCCACTTGCTCTGCAACTTATTCAGAATAATAATACAGTACTTATCATTATGGTGGCAACTTGCCAGATTCTGATTTACAGGAATTATATTTACAGGAGTTGTAAGAGTGACAGAAATTTCTATTATCAATGTTCTGACTGTGGATCTAGTCCATGAAGTTTACAGCTCCTGCAAAAGTCCCCCTGCTTTCCAACCTATAGAGCTAGCGTTTGTCCATGGACAATCTTCCGTGGTCATGTGGCCAGCGTGACTAGACACAGAACGCCATTACCTTCCCACCGTGGTGGTACCTATTTATCTACTCGCATTTTGCATGCTTTCGAACCGCTAGGTTAGCGGGAGCTGGGACAAGCAACGGGGGCTCACTCCAACACATGGATTCGATCTTACAACTGCAGGTCTTCTGACCTTGTAGCACAGAGGCTTCTGCGGTTTAACCCACAGCGCCACCACGACCCTGGCAATAGCAGTTAATAAACGTTAATAACATCAGTTATACTCTTAAATAACAAAACAGTAAATCCTCTACAATCAAGAATCAAGACAAAAGAAGTGTTGAAATGGTCAGGAAAAGAATGGTTCTTTTTTGTTTAAAAGGCTCTTTTTAAAATTTACACTGACAAAAAAATCGCTTACACGTTTATTGACTTTCTGGTACAGATTTAGCAGTTTTATTGATGAATTCTGATAACAAACTATTCCTTTTTAAAACATTTTTCTGGAGGACACTGGCACACCACGAGAGCTTGGAGGACTTTGTCCACTTTTGCAACAGAGAGATGGTATCCAGCTCTATCTGTCCTTTCATCTAATACAGGGAAGGCACTTGGCACTCTGGACTAGGACTTAGGCAAGGAAAGAGTCTGGAAGAGGGCCAACTCAGACAAGACACAGATGACTTGCTATGGGCAAGAGGAAAAGAACCTTGTACTTAAGCTTTGAGGAAGAAAGCGGAATACAAAAAATAACATGTATGGTAATGACAGCAGGTCAGGAACAGCTTACACACAGAAAAACTATACAGCTTCTATGCCTAAAATGACAGCAGGTCAGGAACAGCTTACACAGAGAAAAACTATACAGCTTCTATGGATTCAGAGTGATACATATCCAATGCCTACATTTTAATATTCTTTCAACATCATTAGTAATATTCCAGTGGTACTGCAGAGAGATTCCAATTTGATTGTGCTGGCAAATGTGGTTCTGAATATTTTAATCAGTAAGGTCTGCATTAGAATTCAGTGCATCTTTTGACCCAAGCTGATTCCAGGGAATGCAACCAGGTCTTCAAATACACAGGAAGCATTCCTAACACACAAGGCAGTGACAGAGCTGCAGGGTGAGATCACTGTTTAAGAGATGAAATGTAAGACACTGGAAAACAGACGAGCAGACTTACCAGGTTTGCAGGATTCTGCAATACTAAGAGCACAGGCACGGCCAAACACTACCAAGTCCAAGAGAGAGTTTGCTCCAAGACGATTAGCACCATGAACGGAGGCACAGGCAGCTTCACCGCAAGCATACAAACCAGGTACTACTTGATCTTTGCCATTTACATGTGTAATCACCTGCCATTAGAAAAAATGAAAAATAAAACATCAGCACTAACGGTCATTGCCAGGTGTGGAATGCCACATCATCAACTACTTTGTTTTGGGGCCAAGTATAAATAACTATATAATTATTTGCCATGTATTCCCATTCTCATGTCTGAAGAAGGGGACTTGTCCACGAAAGCTCACATTAAAATATAGCAGCTAATCTTCAAGGTGCCAAAACATTTTAATTTTTTTTTATTTTTGTTTTGTATCAGCATAGCAGTGTCTCCTTCCTGTTGTGAAGAAAAGGCACTTGCCAACATTAAAAAGGAAAGGCAGGAGGAGTGGGGTTATTTATTTATTGAGCTTATATGCTGCCCATTTAGACATAGTCTACTCTGGGCGGCTCACAAAACACATAATAAAAACAATTAATATGAAATAACAAATTCCAACATTAACACAAAACAGAAGAGATAAAGATAAAGAGAATTACGTAGTGTCCGGAGGGAAGGCCTGTCTATATAACCAGGTCTTGAGTTGGTTTTTGAAAATGCCCAGCGAGTGGGCCAGATGAATCTGGGGGGGGGGGGAGCATGTTCCAGAGCCTGGGAGCCACTGCCGAGAAGGCCCGGTGTCTTGTTTTTTCTTTCCGGGCCTCCCTCAGCGTTAGGCTCCTCAGTCGCCCCTCCTGGCTAGATCTGGTGAGACAAGTAGATCTAGGTGAGAGGAGGCGTTCCGCCAAGTATTGAGATCCTAAACCGTTTGGGGCTTTGTATGTGATCATTAGAACTTTAAAAGCAATGCTGAATTGAATGGGCAGCCAATACAATGCGACCAGAAGGGGGAGTAATATGTTGATGTTTCTTCACCCCACTAAGAAGTCTGGCCTCTGCATTCTGCACCATTTGTAGTTTCCACATTAATCTCAAAGGTAGCCCCACGTAGAGCGCATTGCAGTGGTCTAATCTCGAGATTACGAGCGCATGGACCACAGTGGAGAGCGCACCAACGTCAAGAAAGGGACGCAGCTGGGTAAGCTGCCAAAGATGGAAATAGGCAGTGCAGACCACTGATGCCACCTGAGTTTCCATGGTGAGCGCCGGGTCCAGATGGATCCCCAAGCTGCGAACCTCATTCTTAGCAGTGAGAGACACCCCTCCAAAAGAGAGGGTGTTTCCCAAATCACTGACAGTGAGTCCACCCACCCTCAGGACCGCCGTATGGAGGATCTTCACTGGACGGTGAGTTTTTAGCCCATTGGAATGCATTGAAGGGTTTTCAATGCGTTTCAATGGGCTTTTTATTTTCGCTTTACGACATTTTCGCTTAACAGCGATTTTCCTGGAACGGATTATCAACGTTAAGCGAGGCACCACTGTAGTTGGAAAAAAGGAGATGTAGAGCTGAGTGTCATCAGCATACTGATGGCATGATGCTCCACACCCCTAATGACCCCATTCAGCAGCTTCATATAGATGTTAAATAGCATTGGGGAGAGGATTGCGCCCTGCAGAACTCCACAATTGAGGCTCCAAGGGGCCAAGTCCCCCTCCCCAAGCTGATCTCTCTGAAGAAAGATCTCTCCAAGAAGGATCAGAGTCAGGGCAACGCTAGTCCACCAATTCCCAGCTCGGAGAGCCTCCCCAGGATACCATGGTCGACGGTATCAAAGGCAGCTGAGATATCAAGGAGGACCAACAGAGACATTTTCCCTCTGTCGGCCTCCCTCAATAGGTCATCTAACTGGGCGACCAATGCCGTTTCTGTACCATGGCGCAGCCTGAAGCCCAACTGGAATGGATCCAGGGTGTTTGTTTCATCCAAATGTGCCTGAAGCTGAAATAGCATTATTGTCACAGCTACAGGAAACAAGTCACAGTTTCTATTCAAAATCTTTTCTATCTGAATATTACTAGTAAAGGTAAATTACCTGTCCTTTGTAGTTTGTAGGAACACCTCCCATATTGTAATGCACAGTTGGCAGAACAGGAATGGGTTCTTTTGTGACATCTACACCAGCAAATATCATTGCAGTTTCTGAAATCCCAGGAAGACGTGTTGCCAGCTGCTGAGGTGGCAAATGATGCAACTGCAAGTACACATGATCTTTTTCTGGACCACATCCTCTGTTATTAAAAAAATACTGTTGACGCAAGCCTTTTCCACTAATTCCTGCATTTTATTTTACGTCACCCATCATCTTAACCAATAAGCACAATAATCACAGCAACAGAAACTGGCCAGACATCTTTCAACCTATTGGCTGTTTCTGAAGTTTGAAAGAATGTACTTGATTCTTTATAAGCAGAGCTGTATTTGCAAACAAAATTAGGATAAAGTACATGTGCCCATCTTATTCCCTTCCAATCCGCAAGTCATACTGATCTCTGCTAGATGCACCCTAACCAATAAGCACAATAATCACAGCAACAGAAACTGGCCAGACATCTTTCAACCTATTGGCTGTTTCTGAAGTTTGAAAGAATGTACTTGATTCTTTATAAGCAGAGCTGTATTTGCAAACAAAATTAGGATAAAGTACATGTGCCCATCTTATTCCCTTCCAATCCGCAAGTCATACTGATCTCTGCTAGATGCACCCATATACACAAGCCACTTTTGTTTTGTCAGGAACAGAACTGTTAGTTCTACCAGAAGCACTTGTTTATTACATTTCTGATCGTACAAAATGGTCAAAGAATTGGGTCTTCCTTATATCCTACCGTATCCAGTCTATATGTCAATGTATCAGTTCTTTATCATTCTTTACAAACATTCTCAAATTCTTTAAAATATTCCAACTGGATATTGAGGAATCCTAGCACAATGCTGTCTACATTATATTCCCGAATGAGGCAATGATGCACAGCCCAACTTGCCTTCCTTCACGGATCTCAATAGTCATAGAACGAGACACAACATCTCTTGAAGCAAGATCTTTGGCAACAGGAGCATATCTCTCCATAAACCGTTCACCTTCACTGTTAATTAGAATGCCTCCTTCACCACGACAGCCTTCAGTAATAAGGCAACCAGCTCCATAAATCCCTGCAAAATAGGAAGTTACCATATGATAAACCTTTTATAGTGTTTGTTTTACAGAAAGTTTGCCAGAAAGACAAACACCTGTGGTAACATTCAGTTAACTTCATTTTTCACTTGTATCTCATCTTACACTGTTGACACAAGTGCCTTTTCCCACCATTATTCATGTTTTCACACATATTGGTTCATACCCCTGGGTGGGACACATACCTCAGGTTGGGAATCAGTGGCATAGAGCATTTCAGCCCCTTAGGACATTATGTTGCCAACCTTCTTTTTGGAATACTTCAGTGGGTGGCTCCAGTACCCTGGAATTGGGTTGGCTCTGCCATTATATGAAATTAACTGCCCCTCTTTAAATGTTAATACAATCATTCTTGATATTTTATCAAAACAGCTGGTGTGGAACTTAGGCTCATGTTGGGGCATGGCTCTTCTTTAGTACAGGTTTCAATTCTGCACAGAAAACAATACCTCTATTGCCTGGCTAAATTTCATACTCTTTTGAACCCAAAATTCACCAGTTTCTCTCTTCCTCATGTGGTACACACACACCAACTCAGGATGCTGCAGCACGCATCTGACAAAATGAACATTAGCCCACCAAACTGCCACAACACATGTTTATTAAGCTTTTAATATGCTACAGGAAAGCAAACAAATACAGCTACCTCCTCTGAAATTTTAGGGAGTGTTTGGCAGTATAGAAAAAGGAATGGAAACTAGTGGAGGTAAGAGTTTTTCAATCTTCAAATGTGGCAAGTATGTCAACAATATCCCAAAGTGTGCTCGTTTGTACACAGTCATGGTGCATCTAAACAACCTTCAAAGGCTACCATAATAATATAGCAAATTTCTACATAGGAATTCTCATCTAGCTTCTTTCACAATTATTACTTTCACTTCCCATGATTATTGCCCTAACAACAGACACACACGAAGCTGCACTGTATTCTCTTTTAAAGGTAAGCAGAGGGAGAAAGCTGACAACTGGGTATACAAAGGACAACTCTCCAGCAATGTGGTGGCCACACTTGTCTAAAGTATTGTTTACCTGTTGCAGTATTTCTTTAAAGATCAAGTGTCCCAAGCTCTGTGCTACAAAAGAGAACTGAGCCTGAAAAGGTACACTGAGGCTTGCTTCTTTCCAAAAAGAAGCAAAATGCCTAGGTAAGTGATTTGTACAAAAATAAAATGGAAATGGATTCTCTAGTTTGGATAAATTATCTCTGTACAAGCACACAGAGACCCCTGACAGTAAGCCCTGCTGTACTCAGTGGAACTTTGATACCAATAAGCATAGCACTGTGCTACACAAAGGCAAAGATGAGCATCTAACTAGGGAAACAATCACTGGCTTGGAGGCTAAAATGTTTGCAGTGCTTTAATTAGGCTTAACTACCAGCATAATACATTAAAAATACAAAGGTCAAGCATTTTTTTAAAATTCTACTTCTACAGGAAGCCTGGTACTGGTAATATGCTGAAGAAATCCATAAGAGAAGATGTATTTACCTTTATAATTATTTCTTATAATTTTGATAAGATGTATTTATGTTTTGAGAAAATGAAATTAGAATACATCTGTTCTCAGCTCAAAGAAAGAACTTTTGGGTATACATGTTTTGTTCATACTTTGTTTTGTTGCCATTGTAATTTTGAGTACAGTGGTGCCTCGCTTAGCGAGTGCACCGTAGAACGACAAATCCGCATAGCGAGGACATTTTCGCGATCGCTAATGCGATTGCAAAGCAATGGCCTCTATGGCCGAAAATCGCATAGCGAAGGTCGGTAAGCGGTTCACTTACCGACCTTCGCTTTGCGACCCGCGGATCAGCTGTTCGGTGGCTCCAAAATGGCCGCCGGAAGCCCCGAAATGGCCGCGCGCAGCATTTTCGCGCCCTCGCTAAGCAAGGGGAGGGTGCGAAAATGGCTGCCGGCCATAGGGAAGCATCGCTCAACGGTGAGTTTCGGGGCCCATTGGAACGCATTAAACCAAGTTTAATGCGGTTCAATTGGTTTTTTCGTTTCGTTGAGCGATGTTTCCCATAGCGAGGGTGAATCCGGAACGGATTAACCTCGCTATGCGGGGCACCACTGTATTTGTATCTTGTTTTGTTTTTTGGGTGTGTGTGTTGTTGGTTTTTTTTTTGCATTTGAGCGCTCTGCCATTTAGAGATCAACTGATATTTTTAATGAAGGCTAGGCTATATTTCAGAACATAGGTACCTTAGTTTGATCATCTCTTTCTTCAAAAATGTCTGACAGAAAAAGAGCAACAACAACATTGCCTTTGTTTTCTATAAGAGCAGTGCAGAACACGTACCTGTTGGATGGAACTGCACAAACTCCAAATCCTGACAAGGCAGACCTGCCCGTGTGATCATAGCTGTCCCATCTCCAGTACAGGTGTGAGCTGAAGTACAGCTAAAGTAAGTGCGTCCGTATCCACTAGGAAACAAGTTCACAATTAATATCTGCCCAGGACCTTTTCATTACACCTATGATTTCCGGAGAAACAATAGCTCAATACCTGTGGCATCACCAAATAAAGTATCCTCCTGAAATCATTAATAATCAAGCAAATGGCAGTAAATTAAGAAATCTACACAGACGTCATCTGTTACATCCTGAGTTGTGTGACCGTGTGTGCAACCAATAAGTTCTAGAGAGATTTATTTACATTATAGCAATTTGCCTCTGAAAGTTAGGCTAGTTGTACTGTATAACTGCACAACAGAATTTCAGTCACTGTGTGTTTATCATTTTATTTATTTATTTATTTATTTATTTGATTTGTATCCCGCCCATCTGGTCTATGCGACCACTCTGACCTTGAGAGGAGGGGGTCTCTTTTCCTTCATTTTGCTGCTCTTTATATAATTTTTCCACAGTAAAAAAGTCGCAAACAGTGCCTAAACACATTTGCTGAGAACTTATCTAGTGTGAAAGCCAGTGTTGTGACCAGAGTGTTAGACTAGGGTCTGGGAGACCTTTGTTCAAATCCCTGCACTGGGATGAAATGCACCCGGTGGCTTTGAGCTAGGCACTCTCTCTCAGCTTAACCTGCCTCACAAGCTTGAAAGAATGAAAAAGGATTGCTGAATGGGAATTGTACAGAAGTGCAAAGGAAAATAGCACAAATTGACCAATTGGGGGGGATTCCCATGGAGTGTTGTTGCGAACAATTTAGGACAATCCTAAAGTGGACTGGGTTGCAATACTAACCTAATGCTTGGTCAGATCACCTTATCAAGAGACAGATGAACACGACTGCTTCTCCTGCCAAGGATAAGAAAACACAGGACAAGGAAGCATAGGTGGTACATTCACATAACTTCAATGTAATTACTGGCATATTACCCAGTGGCGATAACTGTATTCTTTGCTCTTAAACGATGAATGGTGCCATCTTCTATACAAAGTGCAATAATACCACGACATTCTCCATTCTCCATAAGAAGGTCAAGGGCAAAGTATTCAACAAAGTAACTGGTGTCATACCTAAGGGACTAGAATAGAAGGTAGGAGTTAAAAATATTTGTACCTGTTACACAGCATACAGAACAACATTAATTTATGGCAGTTAGGAAGTCTTTCCAGAGGCAAAGTCAAACAAAAGCAATAGTAATCATGTTGGCCCTAAAAGAAATTCCAAAATTCATACTGGGATAACACGTTTATTAGACTAATCAGAGATTAGCTGTTTGGGCCAGTTCGGTCAATGGCCACACAGCTGATTCGTGGTTCAGTGCCCCACTCCCTCTGGCAGGTGCCCACTCAGAGGCAGTATCCGGATATGCCGGGGCAGGGAAGCCAAGGTGCTGCCTCTGAATGGATGCCCACTGGAGGGGGTGGGGCACAGAAATACAGAACAGCTGTGTGACCATCAGCCAGTTCGTGCCTATCTCTAAGGTTAACCAAAAAAGGTACCAAAATTGTGCAGACTTTTGAGATAAGGGAACACCAGGCAGATGTTACAAATGTAATAAAGGGAGAGAGGAAAGGGAGGTTAGGCATGATACTAAAGCTATCCATGCTGTCTCAGGATTCCACTAGAGGCATATAATGCCTACATAATGTCTTGATGGGAAAGACCTCAACTGCAAACTTAGAAGAGCTGTTATCAGTCAGAACGAACAAGATTGGGCAATGGTCTAGCTCTTTGTAAGGAATCTTCATATGTCAGAAATCTTTTACAGCAATAATGACTGCAATTTATATGTTTTTCTGAAATTTTCACAGAATGCTTGCTGGAATCCTAATATGTATCGCAACTGAAATAATACCTGTAGCATAACTTTCAGGAGTGGACTGCTTCAAGTTTAAGAAGCCAAAGTAGATATTTTCTGTCACACCTGGTTATGTGATTGGTGTGCAGCAGGAAATGCTTACAATGACTTCTTAACTTATGGCAATTCTCTGCTAAATTTATACTGTTGGTTTAACACGAGCAGGCATTAACTAACAGAATCCTGGCCACCATTTAAAAAAGTAGACACTGTAGTTTGTCAACTAACTGGGGAAAGAACAGTGTCAATGACTAACACATCTTTTTGCAGCATTTCCAAATTTTTAAATATTTTGCTGTTTGTTTCCGTGTCTTTATTACACACACATTTTGGGTGCTAACTGGACAAAGCAGTTTATATATGTTAAATTAAAAAGGAAAAAAACCAAAAAGTTTCTCTATGACAAGATGCAATTTAAGATGTATGTGTTATGCAGGCTAAGTCAGAACTACCTTTGCATCTAAAAACATATCACAGTTCATTTTATAGCCTTTCAATTGTTTCAGCTGTTCGGATTATGTAAGTATATGCAGTAGAGCACGGGTCACCAGTCCGTGGGCTTGCTGGAACTGGGCTGCAGATACGGATCTCCGCCCACTCACGCGCGCCCGCATGGAGACATGTCATGTTTATGCGCCCGCAGTGGGCATGTCACGCTCATGTGGGGCATATCACGCTCACGGGGGGGAGTGTGATGTTCGTGCGCACGCGCATCACACGCCCCCACACATATGGAGCTTGCTCCCCCCAGCCAATTCAGAGCCCCAAAAAGGTTGGGGACCGCTGCAATAGAGGATATTTTGGGATCTGTTTTGGGAACATAACAGAAAAAGGCACAGGAAACTGAACTACTAGTCATTAAAGTGATCCTTTCAACTATCAACTCAGGAGGATTCATCCTCCTCAAACATACACAGCATTTCTTACCCGTCCATAAAGCGTGTGCAGCAGTGAATGGCCAGTCCGATCAGCCACACAACAGCATCTATGTGCCTGTCCCCCTTTACCAAACTTCAGACTCTGTCCCCCAAAGGCACGCTGGTAGATCTTCCCATCTTCTGTCCTGCTAAATGGCATACCATAATTCTCCAGCTAAGGAATAGAAGCAGAGAATAATAGCTATTCAATTGTGAACAAAAATTACACATTTTCCCTTGTACAGGTATAAATGGCTAATAAAATTCTATTCTTTGTGGAGTAAAATCAGTGGTGCATATATGTTATCTAAACTTACTGAAGCTTAGACCTGGAAGTTACAAAATCAGAAGTGAGGGAAATATTCTTTTTTTTTAACATTAAAAATTATCTTTTTTCCTTTTTTATGATACAAACTGAAGCAACCAGCTTTCCCTGCAAAGACGACCGGTTTTGCTCACATCCCAGATATGTTATGTTAACTACTACAGGCTAAAATCCAATTGAATATTTATGCAGCTGGTGCATAATATTGGATTTAACCACTGGTTTCTTAACTAGTAACTAGGTTGCTGAAATTTCAATCACTGGTCCTATGTATTAAGATTTTAAGCAATATGATGGAAAAACACACATAATACACCAGTACTCATACCTCAATAACTGAAGCAGGGGCTTGTTCAGTCATGTAATGAATAGCATCCTGGTCTCCTAACCAATCAGAACCTTTCACCGTATCATAGAAGTGCCATCTCCAGTTATCCTCTTCCATATTCCCCAAAGCAGCATTGATTCCTCCCTAGAAATGAAATAAACATAAGCCTTTGTCCATATACAATACTTAGCAATCAAATGTATTGAACTTCCCATTAAATGCAAAAACAGTATGTTCTGCAGCTGAAGTACTGGTGCAAACCTCAACCTTTTTTTGGCCATGGCCATAAACACAATATAAAAGAAATATAGGCCAAATTAGGACTGTACAAGTCACATCTCAAACCTTATAAAGTGGTGTATGAAGACTGTGGCCCCTTCAAATCTGCCCAGGCCCCCAGAGGACCTTATGCCACCCCCGTTGAGAATGGCTGATGTTGTGCCCTAGCTATCACAGAATGGTCAACAGCAGAACGGCACAAAGTCAACTGATTTTTTAAATGTTCTTCAAGATAATTTAAGTCACAATCAGTTTATAACCAGGCAGCAGTTGTCAACACTGGATTTATAAAACATCACCAGTATAAATCATAGATAGCCTGCAACCCACTCCATTCTCTACCACAAACACATGAATCAGTCTGGGATGAATGGTTTCTTACTTGGGCAGCAACTGTATGAGACCGTGTAGGGAACAGTTTTGTAACACATGCTGTATTAAATCCAGCTTCAGACAAGCCAAACGCAGCTCGCAAACCTGCACCTCCGGCACCCACCACAACAGCATCAAACTCATGGTCCACTACAGGATACTGTGTTGAAATCTGAAAGAGAAATGATGATAAAGACACATATCATTAGCAAAGCTCATGAAAATTAACTCTATAGAAGAGACAGGCAATTGTGATGCTCCAGATATTGTCATATTACAAATCTCATGAGCCCTAACCAGCACAGCCAGTAATAAGGGATTGTGAAAGTTATAATCCAAAATTATTTGGAAGATCACAGCTGACCACCACTCTATACTCAGAAGGAATCATTCTTTATAGAGGCACACTTGGACAATACCAGCCTAGCTATTTTTTTAAAAAATGAAAAAGATTATGTTTAATTTGATGTCATCTCTCACTAATCAGTAATGTATCACATTGTTTGAACAAGAATGGGAAATACATTTTCAGCCCAAATTCCAATTTGCAACGGTTATGAGTTGGACAAGACAGGCATGGCCAGATGAAAATCTACATACATTTTCCCTACCAAGGATACAAAACATACTACGCATGTCTACTCAGAAACTAGCTTCACTTCGGCATTTTTCAGGAATGCAAAATTCAATTTTATTTCACATACTTTTTACATGTAAATGTCTTTAAATACTCTCTTATCATCACTGACTGGAGTTAACAGCAACTGTGGGTGCAAGCTGAAAGCGTTCATTGGCCACACTCAGCCCATAGGTCAGAGTTTCTTCATGTCTGACTCAGAGGATCAGCAAAACCTGATACAGTGGTGCCTCACAAGACGATGTTAATTTGTTCTGCGAACATTGCTGTCTTGCAAAAACATCATCTTGCGAAATGCGGTTCCCCATTGGAATGCACTGAAATCTATTTAATATGTTCCAATGGGGAGGGGGGGAAATCCCTTGCGAAAATTGCCCATAGAAAAACCATTTTGTGAAGTGCGGACCCAGCTGTCAAAATTCTCTTCTTGCGAAAAACCATCCTGGAAAAAAAAACCATCTTGTGAAGCATGGACCAAAACATCGTCTAGCAAAAATCTCCCATAGGGAAAACCATTTTGCAAAGCGCTACAGCGATCGCAAAAATGCATTGCCTTGCAAATTAACCGTTTTGCGAGGTAATCGCCTAGCGAGGCACCACTGTACATTCAAGAACTTCCAGCATTCCCTTTCCTTTTCTCACATGCAACAATAGAAACATCTCATTCCCCCCAGTGTTTATTATAACACTAGAAGCAAAAAAAGAGAGACATTCCTCCAAATTAGGATTGTACTCCCAAATCTTTAATCATTTGTAGACATTGGAATGAGACAGTGACATTTCTTATTGATGCACATCTAAAAACAATAATTCATTGGCCTGCTTACTGTTCTTTAGATTACACCAAGTGTGGGACTAAGAAACCAGGAAAATGATTGACAAGTGAGAACTTACCGAATCCGATATTTTGGCAGACACATTTTTCTTCCCATAAACCGTGAAGTGAAAATTCCGAGACAGAGCCTGGCAAGCTGCTGGTCCTTGCTGTAACATGATAAGAAAAGTGTATGACTCCTTCTGATATGATAAGCAAATGTACATTTCCTTTCAACAATACTTTACTACCTCACTCATGCAGGATTATATATAATATAACACACAGTAAAAAGTAAATGTTGTTCTTCCGGACTGTAATTGGAATCTGTCACTTTGTTTTCTGGCATAGCTCCTACACAGGACTTCTGCAATTGTCGCTTTCCTCACAACTGTACAAACATTTTAAAAAGGGAGAAGGCAGGAAGTAACAAGGGCAGCCATACATCTGTTTCAGTCACTATTTATTTCAACAATGACTTACAACTTTATGAAATTATATAGCATCCAGATTGCTCAGGTTCCATGCTTATATAAAAACTACCACACAACTAGAAAATAGAGATCTATTCTGAGGTAGCATGAATATCAGTGACAAATAGAAAATCTCTGACCCACGGCTGCATTTTATAAAGTTTATCATTATGTTTTATTGTGTTATTGTATTTGAACACAATTAACATAACTGAAGTCTGATAACATAACTTTATGTTGAAGTAACTTTACTGTTTTATTGCTTGGTACAATTTACATGAATGCAGTACCATACAAAAAGAATATTACCCTGAAATTAAACTATTTGAAGCACTTTAAGAGTATGTATTGTTGAATAATCCATAGGGTCCCTTCCAGCTCTGCAGCTCTAAGATTATTATTACTTTTATTAATTTTTTAACCATCAATTAAAATATTAGTAAAACTTTATTTACTAAAGCCCAAAGGTATGTTACATTTGCAGGCAAGTTATGTTTACAGAGTACAACATACACTCTTTTTTCCTAGCTTCTGGAAAGAAAGTTCAGGAAAAGACTTTAATCCCATTGTGGTTCTGCAAATCTATGTACGAATAATGAACACATTACAGTAGGACTGTGATATCTGTGGGGGATGGGTTACAAGCCTCCATACAGATGCCAAAAAACACGGATATAGTAAATGCCCTACCCTACATGGTCTCTGGATCCCTCTAGTGGCCAGCTTTGGTAAATACACCCTGGAAATACATATAAATACTGTACCTATTTCACGGGGGGGGGGGGGGAGGAGAGAGAATTTACCGGTAGTACTGTATTTTCAGGCAGCAGATAAGTGAATCAACAGGTTCTGATTCCACTGATTGGGGGGGGTGTCCTACTTTAAATGCTAGGTTTGAAGATTGTTTGGAAGATATTTTGCTTTTTAAGAAGGTATTTTGTTAAACCATTTCAGTTGAACATTGATGTTTAAGCAAATTCAAGAATATGTATGCTATATAATGTTACTGTTTTAGTTAAATAAAAAATTTAAGTAGTTCTCCAAATATGGTTGATTAGACACAAGAATGGTTCACAACAGACCCCAAAAAACAGCTGCCACTGAAGTCAGGGTCACATTATATTCTGAATTCTTTAATTCTCTCTCATAAGCGCTTTTTAGCATAACACTAATAGTGCTGGATATCACATAACTATCTTTTATTTCTCATCCACAAGGCAATTCCTCCCACTCTCTAAGACCAACATTTTCACTCAGGTCAAAAAACAATCCCAGAATTATGTACATCTAACTGCCATTTTGTGCCTTTGTTTAAAAACACTCTGGAATTACCCACAAGCACTACAGCCTCATCTAGCAGAGTTATCTTACAGCAATTGGCCTTCTATCGGTACGTCATCAAGCTTGTCAGGATTTTGTTCATTTGGTGAACAGGGAGTTAAATTTTAATATTGCAATGAAGTGCAGAGTCATGAATGTAAGGTAAAGGCGAATGTAATGACTAACAGCAGCATGCAGATGTAACAAGCTGATGTAATGCTTGACTGTTAAGTAAGACCAGCTGTAATGGAGAAATGTGATTGGTTGTTCTGTGCATAAATGTAACAGAGACAGAACAGACCTTACCACTCAGCAACAAGTCTGGTGGTCATTTACTTCTATGTCAATGTTCTGAATGTTACTATGCCAAATGTATCTTGCCTTGTATTGAGTAGATGTGTAGCCATAACCAACATATAATCACTAAGAACTCTCTGTTGTTTTCTCCCCACATCTAAGTCTCTTACTTTGCTAAAGTTAAGTGGGAAGAATGGAAGCAGTCTGATAGGAGGCTCTGTGTAATTCGTGTCCTTAAGTCTCAAGGCTGGTCTTTTAAGCCGAGTGCTCTTGCCAAGCTTCACATTCAACTATACTCTAAGAGGTTTTCTTGAGGCCAGAGCTTCATTAAGACTCCAGAGTATTCATTGTAAATGTTATCATGTGAAGATTGCAAGGGTTTCAGAGGGAGAAACAGTCACTGGTAATACCAGAAGCAGCAATCTCAGACACAAAAATATCATTTGATGCTACACTAACTTAGTGTTTTGCATTACCTTAATCTCAGTGAATCTTGATTGCTTGCACTGCATTTTCCCTCTTACTCAGCATGAACACATGGACATCACAAGCTTTTAGATGCATTTTCAATTAATTGCAATTTAATATATTGTCCAAATCAAGATAAGCTGTAATAACCGTTATTGAGGAATCATACACATAACTGCAGATCTGACTGGGTTCCAGTTCTGCTAAGAGTTCTTTCTCTCTCCCTTCTATCACTTCCCTCAGCAAAGTATGATTTAAGCAACAACACTCAACAGCTTTTTCTGGATCTGCCCTGTTCCATCAAGGAGGGAAAACTGGTCAGCTCCGTCAGGCACTGCCACTTCAACAGGGCCTGAAAGTCACCTTGTTGCATGGAGAGATTTAGATCTCCCAGGCCATCAGGACAGACAGAAGATAGAAAGAAACTTCTCCATAGCTCAGCTCATCTGATGAAAATGAGTACTGTGCAGGACTCTTGTGGGAGAACTGAGAATGGAATATCTACATGTGGGAGCGAAAAGCCAGTTGTGAGGACAGTGTCACCTTGTGTTCTTCTGACCATGAGTTAGGATCAGCGAAAAGCCAGTTGTGAGGACAGTGTCAGCTTGTCTGACCATATGAGTTAGGATTCTCACATCTCAATTCAGACAATGAATTTACTGTATACTTTTAACTATCGAAGGCACCTTTCAAATCTCGTGTATCTCAGAAAACTGCTGCAGCTTTAACTATCGAAGGCACCTTTCAAATCTCATTTATTTCAAAACTGCTGCAGTAATAAGGATTCTAAGTGTACTTGCTACGGAAAATGAAGAGAACTTGATAACAGGACTAAGGAGGATTGAAGGAGAGCCTTATCTGACACTATACCTGGAAATATCAAAGTTCACATTTGCTATCCCAGCTGTAAGGTAGCAAAGCTAATGCACACACTATTAGTCTACACTTGTTTTGCCATTTCAGCTCCTGCAACATGCTTAACAGGCATGTAATTTTCCATCTGCTTAGAGAAATCAGCATCTCTTTAGCATACTGGACTTGCTAGCTCTTACAGTATTCAGCTCTCTACTAATTGTCATGGTACAAAGAAACAGCACAACACCTACCGTGTTTCCCTGAAAATAAGACAGGGTCTTATATTAATTTTTGCTCCAAAAAACACATTAGGACTTATTTTCAGGGGATGTTTTATTTTACAGTCATATCATCTTCTGGTTGCTGCACAATGCAGCACAATTGTGGAGGGCGGGCTTTCACTTAACTAGGGCTTATCTGGGGGGTAGGGTTTATGAGAATCCTGAAAAATCATATTTTCAGGGAAACAGGGTGCTACAGCTGCATTTGCACACTCTTCTCTACTTCTAGATATATTCAGTCTTTTTAATATCAGAAGAGTGGGCATGCTTCAAGGACAGTTACCATACAGTTATCCTATGCTCCTTTAAATAATGGATCAATACTACAGCAGCTACATAAGCCCTCTCTTCTGACATTGGAGTGCTTGGCTAAGTTAGAAAAATGTTTCCTTTCTGAACACTACCAAGGCTGTGGCAGCCTACTGCTGCAATGATTTATTAGATGGCTCACTTGGGTAGTAATTTATGCCATTACTGCATGTATGGCATACTTCTGTTAGAATAAACAACATCCATTTACATCCATTATCTATGCCAGCTCTGCTATAGTATATAAACCCACATCCACAAGAACATTCATACACTTCCGTATAAAAACAGCTCAGAACCTCTGTGTAGTTGTACGTCATAAAGATATTTGGCATGAACCACTGAAGTTAATCCTCAGGAACCAACTAGTTCCCTAGTTCAGCAGTCGCCAACCTTTTTGGGGCCACGGACCAGCTGCGGGGAGTGAACGCAATGCAGGGGGAAGGGGGGACATCACGCTCGCACGATGGGCATGTCATGCTCGCAGGGCACGTACCGCACTAGTGAGGGGCGTGTTGCACTTGTGTGCAACACACCCCCTGCGTGAGCATGACACACCCACCATGCATGTGTGCGGGGGCAGAGTTCCGTATCTGCGACCCAGTTCTGGCAAGCCCACGGCCCGCACCAAGCCGCAGACTAGGGGTTGACGACCCCTGCCCGGCCACGGACCAGCTGCGAGGAGTGAACGCAATGCAGGGGGAAGGGGGGACATCACGCTCGCACGATGGGCATGTCATGCTCGTAGGGCACGTACCGCATTACTGAGGGGTGTGTTGCACTTATGTGCAACACACCCCCTGCGTGAGCATGACACACCCACCGTGCATGTGTGCGGGGGCGGATATCCGTATCCACGACCCAGTTCTGGCAAGCCCACGGCCCACACCAAGCCGCAGACTGGGGGTTGATGACCCCTGCCTTAGATGACTAACACATGCAGCAAGTGACACAAGAACAGGCCTGCTTCTCACCAAGGTACCAAGATAAGCTTGTGCCTGTGCTGTACCTCTTTGTTCTGCAAGTGAAAGCTGATTTGCTATGTTGCTCCACTACACACATACCCAGAATCGTACACCCAGAAAGTAAACAGGTCAAAGAGAATGATTCTAACTTGACTTTCCCCCTAGCACAGTGATTCCTCATCTTGGCTAAGTCAGGAATTCTTGCACCGCAGTTCTCAGAAGGCTTCACCACCAACTGTGCTGGCCAAGGGTTTCTGGGAGTTGCAGTCCAAGAACACCTGGAATGCCTAAGATTGAGAACCACTACCCTAGCATGTTAGTGCTCTAAGTTAGTGGTTCTTAACCTGGGTGATACTGTACACCCAGGGGGCGATTTCATTTTTCAGGGGGGTGATGGAACGAAAAGGGGCTAAAGAACAGAAGGGAGGGCGATATGGGGGCGATGGAGCGAGCCAAACCTGAGAATGCAGCTGCGGTGCTGGCAGCGGATCTAGCAGGCAGATCCAGAGCAGCTGGTGCTGGCAGCGGATCCGGTGCTGTTGCTGTGGGGAGGTGGGTGATGATAACTTCCTCAATGGTTCAAGGGGGTGTTTCTTTCAAAAAGGTTAAGAACCAACTGCAGGTGATGCTGTCTTGTCCCTCCAGCGCTGCCTGGAGGCCGTACTGCAATGGATGCGGGAGAACAGGCTGAGGCTGAACCCGGACAAGACGGGGGGCTTCCTTTGAAGCTGATGCGGAAACTTCAAGTGGTGCAGAATGCGGCGGCCAGACTCCTTACTGGAGTGAGAAAATACCAGCATATCTCTCCTACTCTGGCCATGCTGCACTGGCTGCCCATCCGTTTCCGCATTGACTTCAAAGTGTTAATGCTTACATATAAAGCCCTAAATGGTTTAGGACCTCGACACTTGGCGGAACGCTTACTCCCAACTAGTTCTACCCATGTCACCCGCACGAGCCAGGAGGTGAGGCTGAGGAGCCTGATGCCGAGGGAGACCCGAAAGGAAAGAACTAGAAACCGGGCCTTCTCAGCGGTGGCTCCTCGCCTCTGGAATAACCTACCTCCGGAGATTCGGGCTGCACCCTCGCTAGGTACTTTTAAGAACCAACTAAAAACGTGGATGTATAGGCAGGCCTTCCCTTCCAGTTAATTCCTGTCCTCTTTCCTTTTTAATTCTTTTTCTCTTTATTTGATTTATTTTGTATTTTTCTCATCTTGCAGAACCATTTAATTAATTAACTGTTATAAATTTTTCTTGAACTTGTTATCCTTTATGTTGTAAGCCACCTAGAGTGGTCGAAATGACTAGATAGGCGGGGTATAAATACAATAAATAAATAAAATAAGTGCACACAATGTTTAATGAGGACCATTCTGTCATGCGAGACCCATCAGAAGTGGCTCAGCTTTACCACAGGCTTATCAATGCAACTAGGCCCAATGGATCTTAGTACAGTAATTCCATTAAAACCCTTTACTTGCAAGATCTTTCTGGTCATGGAAGCAAAGTAGATCCAGCGTATTTACACAGCCAAGAAGACTGAACTGCGGATAGTATTGTGCTCCTCTCAGTGTTGATTACATAAAACGATATTATATAAACTATATGAAGGGGAAGGAAGAAAACTAGCGCTGTAGCAATCTGAATGGGAAGTATTTATACTACACCAGCAATTCCCAGTAACTGAAAAGGAAGCAGCTCCCTTTTCAAGCGAATTTTCCTCTTTCTTACATTTGGATGAGTTGTTGTTTAGTCGTGTCTGACTCTTCGTGACTCCATGGACCAGAGCACACCAGGCCCTCCTGTCTTCCGCTGCCTCCCGGAGTTGGGTCAAATTCATGCTGGTCGCTTCGATGACACTGTCCAGCCACAGTGTCATCGAAGCTACCAACATGAATTTGACCCAACATTTGGAGGAGAGCGGCGGTCTTACCGGCTCTTCTCCAGACCGGACAATGCTGGCCCTCGGAAAGCCATTCCCAGCTCCCACCGAGTAGAGAAGGGCCTTTAATGTCCCCTCCGAGTGAGGTCTGCCACATACAGAGAGAGAGAATATATGGGGGACCCGCCGAGGTGTTGGCGGCGCAGCAGGGAAAGCGGGCTGCGGGATAACAAGGCTGAAAGCCACGTTAACGGCGAAGGACGGCCGACGGCCAACGGTCGGTCGGTCACCTTGTCTCTCCCTTAACCAACCAAGGGGAAAAGGGGTGTTTCCGACAACACGCCGAACACCTTGAGCTAAGGAGCCCAAGACGAACTACAACTCTTCTTCACCCAAACCAGACTCCGCCTGCAAGCATCGCGAACGCTTTTAACAGCCGTAGAGGGACCCTTGGCGCTCCCCGACCGACCGCGAAGGGGCAATCGCGACTTCCACCCACACACACACACACTTGTTGACGGCAGCTCGGCATCCCACCCTCAGGCCCTAAACAGGGACGCACGGGGTTCGGCGCGACCCTTACCCCATGGAGCAGCGGGACGCGCCGCAGCCGCCGCAAAACTAACGCCGCCATTTCACACCGGCCAGGAGACGAGGCTATTGCGCGTGCGTAAAGGGAAAGCCCCCTTTTGACGGAGCAGTTGTCACTGTAGGCCAAACCAACGCAATAAAATCTTCAGGGAGGAGCCGTATTATCGACAAATTAACAAGGGGGGGTATTGTAATGTGTTTGATGCCACGAGTAGCATTGTTTCTTCCAACCTGGAAAAAAAATATGGGAAGGGATTAGAATGATATTGGTTTGAAAGGACATAGAATTTTTTTTCCCCAGTGAAATAAAGCATGGCATGGAAGACAGCCAGGAGCTCTCGTTTCTAAAGATTTGAAAGGTCAATGTACGATTCAGGCGAGCAAGGGCGTCTTCTCTTCCTTTACCCCTCCCACCGCGATGGTTCATTCCGCAAAAGATGGCCGACGCCGCGGATTGCTTTGCGCACGCGCGATGAAACAGGCGGTTCCCGAGCAGCTGGAGGTTAGTGAAGGTGGTTTTTTCTTCTGCCTTCTCCCGGTGCGTTTCTTAATGCCATGTTTTTGTTGTGTAACGTGAAAATGTGTTGGCGTGAGGTTTCATGGACAAACGTCCACATTCAGAAGGGCGATCTAGACAACAAAGGAGTTTTTAAAAATTAAGTCCGAGGTGGGCGACCCCCAGGTGAAGTCGATCCTTGCGAGGCCGATATTCTTGTATTTTTGGAAATCTTGTTTTCCTTGACTTGGGGGGGGGGACCCGTGTCGGGTCTCGCTTGCATGGGAGGCGGGAGGACTCCTGTAACCGAACGATTTTCCGCTTAAAAAAAATTAATAAAAATTAAATAGTGATGTTAGTACTGCTTGCTACGGGGGGGGGTGCCATCTCAGAGCAAAGCAGGCCGATTTTTGATCTGCTTAAAGGTCCAATGGAAAGAGGGAGAGCAAATCGGTGGGGAAGGCAAGCGCGTTGTCGTGCCTTCCTGTGCCTGAAGGCCTCTCGAAGTGCCGGCACTTCCCCTGCATGGGGCTGTGAAAGAGAGAGAACTAACGACGTCCCTGGTCGAGAGGATCCGTCCAGGGCTCCCAAGGATGATCGGCGAGCACTTACTTGCCTCGGAGAGCAGAGGAAACAAGCGCGGGAGCGGACACCAGCACAGACACGCACTATTTCAGTTTTTCTAAACATGGATCGTGCTGGCAACTTCGTTTGGTTTGAAACAGTAACGCTCAGACAAACGAACAGAGGAGGAAGGAACGTGCCAGGGAGAGAGAGAGCCGCCAAAGCTTGTACAGTATTGCCGAAGTGGACCTTCACGTCTTCTGATGACAATTCAAAGGCGAAAGTGTTGGCTAATGAATTGTTTCAGACATTCAGCCGGCAGGCAGTAGGCGAATGCATGGTGTTGTATAACATGCCTTTATTGCCTAATACACGTGTGTCACACAGGCAAGCTGTTTTGGTTGACATCAATATGGAATTTAGAACATTATTTTTTAAAAGTAGTTGAACAGTTCGAAGACTTCCCCATAGATAAATGATTACTTTTGAGAAGCAAGAAAGTAAAAAAAATGTAAAGTATTTCCTTAGTTTTCTGCTTGTGAATACGCTCCTAGCATCATTACTTGAGGTGGAAATCTTAATCTTGTGAGCCATGGGCCCCTGGAGCCTTCTGTCCACCTTGCCTTTGCACCCACAATGAGGTGGAAGGCAAAGCACACACCAGCTCTTGAGCCATGTGATGGATCTCTGCTACCACACGCTGGTTGCTATGAAAGTTAGTTATGCCACAAAAGGAATGATATTCTTTGTTAAGTTACTGTGGTAGGACACTAGTTACTTGGAACAGGAAAAAGTAGCTCATTAATTCCAAAGTTTGAAACAAAGAGTATGACAATTTGTCTATAATTATTTAAATATTGTGTGATTCATGCAGGATTAGACTTCTGAGTAGACTTCTGTCTACAAGGGTGGGATAAAAATCCAATAATAAATAAATAAATAAATAAATAATTGTATGGCAGTTCTTAAAAGTGCTTTGGTAAAGAAACGCTGAAGCCGATTTTGTATCCTGACAGCAGCTTTGAGGAACTTTATTCTAGTTATTATAGAAATATTTTCTCTACATTAATGTGCTGTAGGTAGGGGATATAGCATCGGAGTAGTCTTGGAAGATATGGGTTGAAATCTCCACTCAGACATGCAAACTTATGGGTGGGTAACAATAGTAACACATTCCTTGAACATCTCACATGTCTTGAAACTAGAGATGGGGGTATTTGTATACTGTACAAATATCCCTGCTTAGCTGGACTTAACGAGGGTCCAGCCTCTCGGGCCGGACCGTCCACTCACGCATCTGGCAGTGGCCCCGCTCATCCTTCCAGTTGCTCCCGGAGCACCATTCTTTCTGCTCGTGCAGGGAGACTTGTCCTCCCTTCCCCTGCCTGGTGTGGCTAGCGGAGCGGGAAGAGAGCGATTGGAAGGATGAGGGTTCCGCTGCCACTGCCAGACATGTGAGTGGACGGTCTGGCCCCAGGGGCCGGACCCTCATTAAATCCAGCTGCGTGGGGATATTCGTATTCAAATATGAATACCCCCATCTCTACTTGAAACTCTGTTAGGATTGCCATTAGTCAAAGAAACATGGGAGCACATATTTATTATATTTTGTGTCCGGAGAGGAAGAGAGAGTTCATTGTTTTTTTACACATAACAAGTAAAATACATTTAGGGTTTAAATTACTGAACTTGAATTACTTTAAAACATTTTAGTATTATTTAATAATATAAGTCCTGTAGATAATATCTGTATTATATTTATAAGTTATGTGTCATCAGTTCACCTCAGACTGCTGGCAACCCTATGAATGAATCTCAAACATGTCCTGCCCTGAACTACTCTGCTCAGCTATTGTAAACTCAAGGCTGTAGCCACCTTTAGGATTCATCTCATATTTGATCTTCCTCTTTTCCTGCTGCCTTTAACTTTTCCCAGCATTTTTTTTTCAGAGAAAGCTGCCTTCTTATGATGTGCCCAAAGCAGGACAGCCTCAGTTTCAACATTTTTGGCTTCCAGTACCACATTTCAAATTAATCAATTTTTTCCCTGTCCATTTTCTTGACTCTCCAGCTTTCACACTGATAACATGGTGATCGAAATTATGAGAGTGGATGATTTTGTACTGGGTGTCCAGTGACACATCCTTAGACTTGATGATCTTTTCTGCTTCCTTCTTTGCTGCCCTTCCTAGTCTTAATATTCTTCTGAACTCTTGGCTTCAGTCTTTGTTATTACCTAGAATATTATTCTGAGGGTTCAGCTTTTACCTCAGCCCAGACTATCTCTTCACCCCAGGCCACTAAATCCACAGGAGGAGGCTCTTCAATGGGTTTCAAACATTCAATGTTTATTTCTGATGACCCCAAAAAACTGTTGGGGTCAGATTTAAGGTTCAACAGCTTGTCCTGGCCCAACAAGGTCTGAAACAGATTTGAGTCTTGAACTATTAACTGGTTTTCAAAAATGTTTTCCCATTGTCCATCAATGTCCCTGGGATCAATGTCCATCAAAGGCAACCCTAGTGAAAGCGGCAACAAGGGCATCTAAAGGTTGGGTAGGAATCCACTCTCCCCAGATCCATCTCTCTCATTCTGGACACCAGCTGTCCCACGGCGTGCTCCTTAATTCATCTCACTCTATCATTTTCTCTTCCTATCCTAGCCATTTCCTTGCATATCTTCTTTCCCCCCTCATGGGCTTCCTTCTTGTCCTAGTAAGAGGGTCTCTGGACTGAAGCTCCCCATCTCTGGCTTTCAGCCTCCTCCCTTAGGGCCATCAATGTCTCCCACTGACAGGTCCACGAGTTTTCTATCCGGATCCACTCCCACCCTGGGGGAAGTGTATTTCCTTTTTCTCTCACTTCTGCACCTCCTGCCTCTACTTGTTCTTAGCTGGGTGTTCCCCTTTACATGCTTCTCTTTCCCACCAGCCCCCCACTTCCTCAAGATATCCTTCTCTGCTCTCGCCCTTTCTATCAGGTTTATCACTTCTCCCTTGTTTTCTACTTTCTTCCTCTGTCACTTCTTCTCCTTCCATCCTGAAGCTCCCCTCTTTTGCTGTTTTCTCACTCACACCCCTCATTGCTCTGGAGTTCCTTTCCTTTTCTTCCTGTGGAATGATTGATACTTGGGTTGAGATGGTCCCAAATTTGTCCCCTGACTCACAATTATATATAATAATAACAATGAACTAGTATTTCCAAAACAGAAACTAAAATGTATGTTCATTTTTATTTTAGTTTCGGTATGGCATTGATCCAGAGGCATCTTCCTGTTTATTCTGGGTGATGAGATTCGTTTGAGTGCTGAAGAGGAGTTAAAGGTAAGCATTTATTCAGTTATCTTTTTTTCCCCATCACTTTGATATTAGTATAAGTGATTGATATGCACATTGTAAAGTGTAGGTTTGGGATTGAATTTGAGAAAGAAGCTGCCTGGTATTTCTTCCACACAGTATTCCATATTTGTAAAGATGAGGTGAAAGCAATACACTAGCTATTGGGAAGACTTTTTTTAATTTAGGGAAAGAGCCTCTGAGTGACACTTTCTTCTAGGATCTTCATTGAGTGAAAACACAAAGGAATAAATCCAGTCCAAATCCCAGCTAAAATAGACTCACTGAAATGTATGACAATAACTCATCACAAGTAATATGAATTTTGTCGATTTCGATAGGTCTACTCACTTTGGGACTAGAATTATGTCCAATACAATGCCAGCACCTACTAAACCTATGTTGATTGTTGTGACAGTTCCTACATGAATGCGAAAGGAATGTGCTATATGTTCTTGAATGAAAGTGTGAAGGAAAGCTGCACCAGAGTTTCAGGGAGCAGGAAAAGAGGAGTGATGGAGAACAAATGAAACAGAAAACAAAAGTAGGGAGGGAGAAGGCTGAAGAAGGGGGCCAAAACCAGCACATGGAAGAGAATTGGAGGTTGACTGTCACTCCTGGTTAGTTTTTTACTGTAGTGAGATTTCTCATCATTTGGTGAACACAGCACTAGTTTTTAGAGCTGTATTGGCAGTTCATTTTGAAAGTACAGTTGTCGCTGTATTGTAAAGCCAAATATTAGATAACTAAATGTTTCTTTTCTCTAATTTTAAGATTTGTCCATGAATAATTTAAATGATCCCCCTCACTGGAACATCCGGCCTAACGCAAGGGATGATGATGGTCATGGAAGCAAATGGAATTATGCCTTGTTGGTTCCAATGTTGGGTCTGGCTGCTTTCCGTAAGTGACATCAGAAATAGAATAAAAAATTCTAATTTTACATTGCATTATCAAGGCACGATAGCGACTGGATTAAATTCTTTATTCTTAAAAGATTGCCTTAGAATGTGTCTGACCTGAATTGGGATAAAGTTAGCCAAAGCCAACATGAGTAGAGAAACATTATATATAGATATATTAATATAAAGTATTAATAGCCTTGTGAATAGTAAATGCAGTCTGAACGTAATTATTTTGTACTGGTGAATGAAGAAATTTAGCAGTGAATTTCCTTAATGAAAAAAATGCACTAGATCCCAAACAAGGAGTAAATCAGGACATAAGGAGAAGTGCACACACTGGAAGAATTTGGAAAGGGCACCTTTTGTAGGAATTTAAACACATATGCTGGAAGCTTCTGAACCAAGATAGGGGAGATGGAGTGTTTGCTTTTAAAAAAGAGCATTGCTAATGGGCATATAGGAAAACTGGGGAGAACTAGTGAGATATGTGCATCTCTGCATACAGCTCTATAGGAAGCATAGGAAAGCACATACTCTACATCAAAGAGGCCATGTCATGAAAAAGACTTAAAAATCTCTGTCACAGAATCACTGTACATGATAATACAGGGCTTTGAAAACAGTGTGTACTGGGATGTGCAGTCATCCCCTCTGACCAAAACATTCAAGTTGATATTGAGCCAGAAGGTGGAATCATAGGGGCATCACAGGGGAAAGGTGTTATAGGAGCAAATGGCTTCACTTGCCCTCACCTTCACTGAGTAAATCATAGAAAAGTGAAGGGGCCTACAAGGCCATCAAGTCCAACTCCGTGCTCAGTGTAGGAATACAATCAAGGCATATCTGCCAGGTGATTATCTAAGTTTTTCTTGAATGCCTCCAGTGTTGGAGCACTCACCAACCCCCCCAGGTAATTGATTCCACTGTTGTACTGCTCTAACAGTTAGGAAACTTTTCCTTATACAGTATTCAATCGAAATCTGACATCCTGTAACTTGAGCCCATTGCTGCGTTTCCTGCACTCTGGAGTTATAAAGAACAGAACTTGCCCCTCCTCTGTATGACAGCCTTTCAAATATTTGAAAAGTGCTATCATATCATCCACCAGCCTTCTTTTCTCAAGGCTAAACATGCTCAGTTCTTTCAGCCCTTCCTCGTAAGGCTTGGTTTCCAACCCTCTGATCATCCTTGGCGCCCTCCTCTGCACTTGTTCCAGTTCGTTAGCATCCTTCTCGAAGTGTGGTGTCCAGAACTGGACACAATACTCAAGGCGAGGACTAACCAGTGCGGAATAGAGGGGAACTAGCACCTCACGGGATTTGGAAACTATTCTTCTATTAATGCAGCCTAAAATAGCATTTGCCTTTTTTATAGCCAAATCACACTGTTGGCTCATATTTAGCTTGTGATCTACGACAATTCCAAGCTCCTTCTCACTCATAGTTTTGCTGAGCCAGGTATCCCCCATCTTGTAACTGTGCGATCAGTTTCTTTTTCTGAGGTGCAGTACTTTACTCTTATCCCTGTTAAATTTCATTCTGCTTTTGGCCCAGTGCTCCATCCTGTCAAGGTCATTTTGAATTTTGTTTCTGCCTTCTTAGGGTATTAGCTATTCCACCCAATTTGGTATCATCTGCAAATTTGACAAGCATTCCCTGCACTCCCTCATCCAAGTCATTAATAAAAATATTGAAGATCACCGGGCCCAGGACTGAGCCTTGGGGTACTCCACTAGTTACCTCCTCCCAGTTAGAGAAGGAACCATTAATCATCACCCTCTGAGTATGATACTGTAGCCAATTGTGTATCCACCTGACACTTGAATCTATCCAGCCCACACCTAGTTAGCTTGCTAATCAGGATATCATGGTGCACTTTGTCAAAAGCTTTGCTAAAGTCAAGATATACTACATCCACAGCATTCCCTCTGAGAGGTTACCTGATCAAAAATGAGATCAAATTAGTTTGGCAGGATTTGCTCTTGATAAATCCATGTTGGCTTCTAGTTATTACTGTGTTGTTTTCTAGGTGCTTGCACAATGACCACTTTATGATCTGTTCCAGAATTTTGCCTGGGATTGATGTCAGGCTGACTAACCTGTAGTTCCCAGGTTCCCCTTTTTTGCCATTTTTGAAGATAGGGACAACATTGGCCCTCCTCCAATCCTCTGGCACCTGGAGTTTGATGCGTTCCTATAGGTTCCCCCCCCTGCATAGCGACGAATCCGGATAGCGACGTTAATCCTAGAACGGATTAACGTCGCTATGCGGGGCACCACTGTATACTGCTTTTTTGAAAGCATATGGACCTGCTCTTTACATTACACACACACACACACACACACACACACCCACACACACACACACACACAAACACAAACACACACAGAGAGAGAGAGATTGAGAGAGAGAGAGAGAGAGAGAGAGAGAGAGAGAGAGAGAGAGAGATCACTAAGGCATCGCCCAAAATGATTTCTTGGAAGCCCTCACACTATTTGTTGATCTTCCTCTCTTTTCCAAGAAATTTTAACAATGGAGTTATATGTGTTATTCTCTCCCCCTATTATGTCCAGATGCCTTGCTTAGAATGCCCACATCTTTGAAACTTTGTCGGTTTTTTAATATGAGCTGTTTCCTAAATCCAGTAGCAGCAAGTAAACATAGTTTCACACACTGGCTCATTCTTTTGAATGAAGATATGGGGATCTTGAGCTCCTTTCTCCCCAGTGAGAATGGCAATTATGGTTCAGTCACAGTTTAGCATAACTAGCTCATTAGAAAGCCACCAGGAAATTTTCCGCTAGTAGTGCTGGCTATGGGGTAGATTCCTTAAAGTACTTGGAGGTCCTTTCTCTACAGCCACAGTATGAATCTTCTTGGGGATTTGCAGTTTAATCATATACATTCATATGTTTCAGGTTGGATCTGGTCCAGAGAGTCTCAGAAAGAGATAGAAAAAGAGAGAAAAGATTATTATCAAAAACTGACATTTGCACAGAGAGAGCTGGAGTCTAAATACCGTGACATAATCACAGAAAACCGCCGTACGGTTGCACACTTGGAGCTGGAATTGGAAAAAGCACAGAACAGAACACAGAGTTATCGCCAAGCTCTTGTTTCTCAGAGTTATAAACTGGTGGAAGAAAGAAAAGCTCTGGAACAAGAACGAAGAAAATTAGAAGAAGAGAAACAAATTCTCCAGCACTCAGGAGCTGCTGGAGCTTTGTACCAAAACTGCTTGGAAAAGGAAGAGGAGTGGCAAAAGAAAGCTGCTGCGTTACTAAAAGAGTGTGAAGATGCTCTTACGAAAAGGCAGGACATCTACTGCAGCCTTGTGGTGCCAAGACACCAACGACTAGAAGTTGAGAAGCAGTTGCTAATTAGAGCAGCAACTGATCCAGTTGCTTTGGACCTGGAGATGGAAGCTGGCCTAAATGATATTTTCAGGCATGATACTTATTGCAGCAATTTGTTAAACACTAACAAACGTCGGAATGGAAGGCTAATGTGGCTCTACCTTCGATACTGGGAATTATCTGCTGAACTCAAAAAATTCAAGAGGGTAGAGAAAGTCATGTTGGGAAGGTAGTGGGTAAAAAAAAGGCTTTTCATACATTGCTCACACCAGCTATGGCAGTGGCTCTCAACCTTGGGTAACCCAAGTTCTTGGACTGGTAACTCCCAGAAACTTTTGCCAGCACAGATAGTGGTGAGGGCTTCTGGGAACTGCAGTCCAGGAGGATCACTTGGATTATCCAAGGTTGGGAACTACTGAGCTGTGGCATTTATCTGTAGAATACTGTCAGCTTCCACCATCACGTTTGTATTAGTTATCTAATATTCTTTGAAAAAAAAAGCCAGAATTCTTTGGGATTTTGGTTTATCATGGATGTGGCAGCACATCTACATACTCTGCCTAATAGCTTCCATCAGTGGTTTGTTTGTTGGGACATCCAAATATGGCACTCAACAATCCAGAGTTATAAGCCATGGCTTACTTATGGCTTGTTGGAAGAAGAGACAGGCAAGATGCTGGTTTTGATGTCAGCAACCAGGCAGTGTGATGAGCATGCATCTTTTGCACTATATGCCAAAGTTCTACAGAATTCTGCATTATTACTGCATGCAAATCCACTACAGTTCAATTTTTCTTCCTATACCCAGTGTGTATGCTTATTGAGTGGTAGCATTCTCCTCTGTGTCAACTAAAAACTAAGTGTCTATAATCACTACAATCTTATATGTGTTTACTTAGAAATAAATACTGCTTGAGGTTTATTCTCTGGTACATATATTTTAGGATTGAAGCTATTGTTCTGGGTTTAGAGGAAATAACTTCAACATCTACTGCTTGCATGGCAACCCTTTTCCAGAAAGATACGTTTCTTCATTACTTGGAAGCAACATCTCATAATTACAGATCTGGGGTTTTTTTTAGTTTTAGAACTGGTTTTATATTTTTGTTTGATTTTTTTTGCCAGAGAGTTTACTGTAATTACTGAAGCGGTCTATTTATACATAAGTTATTTGGCAGTATTTTTCCCAACACACACACACAGATGTCCTCATGTAGCTTTCTTCCTTCTGCACTGTAACTTGTATAAGGATTGCCCTTCATGGTATTACTGTTTGATATCGGATTTTGTAAATGAATCTCTAAAGCAAATCAGATCATGTGTTTAACTTCAGAGAAAATTGTTCCTAATATATGAACAGTTACTTGCTCTCCTTCCAGTTCAAGAATCTAAGAACCCTTAAGTGGTCTTCTGGCCAAAGTTTCTACAAAAAAAACATGGTATAACAAAACCATAGGTAAGAAGAAATATTTAATAAAAAAATTCAGCATGCAAATTGCATTGTTGGAAAGGGAAGCAAATTCATGCAGTTCTGATGAAATCACTGAGAACTTAGTTTATTCAAAAGACAGTGTTGGCCATAAATTATTTTTGAGTGGTGCTAACAGAGCAAGAGAACATATTTGTATGTTGGTACTTGAGATGGATAATCTCACATACTGCTAGGTTAGAGTATGTATAGGAATGATATCTGTATTATGCTGAAAAATAATGTTAATATACTAAAGATTGGCAAGGGTTATGCTGGGTTTTTGTTTTCATTAGTTAACCTACATAATGATTTAGTCCTTAAATACAGTCATTAGTGTAATTGCCGAAACTAAAATCCAATAGATTTTTGCTAGAGATGTTTGCCTCTGCAACAAAGAGGTTCTATTTTTATATTGATGTTTAAGCAAATTAAGTAATTTATTTGAAAGCACTCTTTTTTGTGTGTCAGAAAAGGCTGTTTGCTATTTGACTTTGGCCTGCTTGTCTTGCACACATTCTCTGTGCATTAAATAACCAATAATTGAGACTCCTATATGTTTTCAGTTACAGTGGTGCCTCGCAAGATTTTAATTTGTTCCACGAAAATTGTCATCTTGTGAAAAAATTGTCTTGTGAGGTTCCCTGTGCATCGGTCTCAAAAAAAAAAGTCTTGCAAAGCATGGTCATAGGAAAAAATGCAAGAGGCACCATAGTGATCGCAAAAACCAATCGTCTTGCAGGTTCTTCGCTCTGCGAGGCAATCGTCTAGCGAGGCACCACTGTATATGGTACATGAACACATATACAGTTATATACCTGAAGTGTCCATGACTCCAGCAGTTCTCTGTATTATAATCCCCAAACCATCTCCATTCAACTACAGTACATTACCCAAAATATACCAGCACAGCCATATGTCCTTCTCATTGATCCTGAGGTGCCTTTCTAAAGCCTTCATCATCTTAAACCTAACAAGACATGGGGAAAAGTCACAGTACCTTTAAAAGTCTTCCTGTGTCTCTGGTTCTGACCTAAAATTGCCATTGCAGAAAATTCCTCCTGTTATATCTCCCAGATACATAGGATGAGATTCCCCCTTCTTATTTGTGCTTGCCCTAGAAGAGAATTATCTCTTTCTTTCTGGGTTGGGATAATGGTAAAGGCTTCTCTTCCCTTTTCATGTGCTGACCGGCCATCCTGTCAAAGATACTGAGGAAGTCCCTTCAGCTGGATCCCTTTGATTCTCCATGTATAAAGATGGGGCTGATGCTTTTTGGAAATTGCCAACTCCATATATCGTTCTCAGTGCCTAGTAGAAGGGTCTCATTTATAGATTATTAACTAAATATCTTTGCAGGTCATGTGCTTAATTGTTTCACCAAAGGTTTTTATGAGTAATGGAAAGGTACCACTATAACATTTGCTCATATTAGTATCATCAATCCTCCCCCATATTGCAGGAATTGTTTTACTATATAATCATTCCTCTCTGTCACACTCTATAACTGCTGGCCAGTCTGTACTATTTTCTTGCTCTATAAGGTTCTTTTATTTGATATGCATAATTTGTTCTCTTTAATATAACTATATGAAATAAATTCTTGTGAGAAATTCAGACCTTATTCTTGGCTGATGCTCAGTTTGTGCATTAACATAGTATATTTGAATTGCAGACTTGCGTTCTTTGTCTTAAATATAATAACAAGTATACCTTTGGTCAAGATGGGTGGGGTTGAAGTCTAATAAATAAACAAACAAGGAATATAAATATAGTACCAGGAGTTTATGCAGCACTTTGCTTCAAGTATCTCATAATTCTTATTTAAAAGAAAGTTGAAATGGTCCTTTATAATTTATATTTAGTGGAGTTCTTTTTTTAATTACCAAGGCCTGTGGCAGCTGTTTTCTAAGCAGGTAATGCACCTCCAGTGGGTAGCACTTTTGTGATTGTTGCCATTAATCACTTTTAAAATTCCAGATGTGTTCACTAGCTGAATGTTTGTACTCACCAGTATGTCCATCTTCACTCCTGGTCAGAATTTGTATTGCCAGCTGAGAGGCAGGAAGAGAGGGACCAGAAGCAGGCAGAGGTGGTGTTTTAGAGGCTACTTTTTCCCTAGTCATGCTGGCCAAGTGGCAACAGAAACTGTCTTCGGACAAGTGTTGGCTCTACGGCTTGAAAATGGGATGAGCACCGCCCCCTAGAGTCGGACACGACTGGACTAAAAATGTCAAGGGGAACCTTTACCTATCTCAGCCAAAATTCATGGTACATCATGCCAGGAATTGATATAACCAGGTGGGAAATGAGCCAGATATCAGAGATTTAATTCAATAAAAATGTATTGAGCTTCAGTTGCATTCACTCAAAATAAATTATTCTTAAAAGATGTCCTCCTAGTAATTCATTCATCTCTAAACATAAATGTTAATTCATCAGGAATAGTCATTGGGTTGATGTGTAGTCACATCTTGCATTTTCTTCGAATCAACTCCCTTTGAGTTCAATGAATTTACTTCCAAATAAATATGCAAAGAAGTGTAGCTGTAGACTACAGATGTGCAGAATGAATTTTATACATTGTACCATTGTGAATCTGGTGCTTGTTATTCTGCTCCTTATATGCACTACTGTCAAAAGTTTTCCATGGCTAGGGTTGCTGGGGCAGTCTAATTTGTACCTAGTGCAAATTAGGGAGTCCAATTTGTATGATCTATAAATTTGCATATTATGCTAATCATATTGATTTTTATATTGTGCAAATTAAGCACCTTAATTGTCACTTATATTTTTACCAATATGTTTTAGAACTGGAATCATTTACAAAGTGACCACTGATACAATGAAGTGTAGTGGTTAAGAGGATTGAATATGGAACAGGGAGACTCCCTGCTTAATCAGTATGTGCAGCATTGAGTGGGAGGCTGACCCAGGCCTACTCTTAGCAATTAAGCACATTTTCACAAATTTATCTTTACCCTTCTCACTCACAGTGCCTGATTCCTCACCAAGTGAGTTCATATATGTCCACTCAAAAGTTTTAGATAAGAAATCTGTTTCTCTTCATGGTCTATTGACTCAAACATATGGACTGATCAACAGCTGTTTACTGGAGGTCCATGAGGGAATTCTTAAAGAACAGATCCAGGCTGCACTGCTTCATGGGACATTGTGTCAACTCAGCAATGATGGACAAAGTGGAAGACTGCTCATGTAGCCACTTTACAGATAAGACTGCAGAATACATTTGAGAAACACCATAGACATGTTGAGGGTTCTAGTGAAATGAACCACAGAGATGTATCTAGAATGGTGGATGCTGCAGGAGTCAATATTCAAGGAATTACCAGCAGAGGAATATTTAATGGAGAATTGGCTGACCTATGATTATAATAAAAGAATTAGAGGGGTGGAGTGGGATACATCAGTGCTGTATGTAACACTATGATTATAATAAAAGAATGATTAGAGGGGTGGAGTGGGGTGAGGATTCAAAACTGGATGTTAGAAAGAAAGGAGAGCACACTGTTGACTGGCCTTCCCTCTTATTAGGTGGCAAGCTAACCAAAGAAGACAGATTGACTTTCCAGGCTAAAAATCCATCTTTTTTTAATGCCAGATAAGTTTCAGGAAAACCATCAATCATTCAGGATTTGATTCTGGGTAAAAGTGCAGACTTGGAGGCCTGGCTGAGAGAAGAGGACCATCAATCATTCTGGATTTGATTCTGGGTAAAAGTGCAGACTTGGAGGACTGGCTGAGAGGAGTCTGTCTCATTCACCTGAAATCACCAGATTAGTCTATTTGTTGAAAAATAGCCCTGACAATTGCTTTGCATTTGGGTGAGAAGTCATATGATTGAAAAAAGGAGTCGATTTCTGGGATTTCTCCTTGTCACTTTGTTGAATAGTAGTGAGTACAAGATAGTATCCTATAGACTAAAATTCCCAGGAGCCTTCACCACTAGCTGTGTTGGCCAGGATTCCTGGGAGATGTAGTCTAAGAACATCTGGAGACCCAAGGTTGGGGAGCACTATAGACCATCTTGACTGCTGTCATTGGTGTTGTTAACATTCAGGCTGACGTTTATTATATAAAGCTTGGCAACGCAGGAACAATGCTGTGGAGCAATATTAGGCCGTTTCCTGGCTTTTTGAAATCTGAGTACAGAAGCACAATATCCCACATTTATAAACTGGAAGGTTTCTGAATTTATATTCCAAAGGCCTGTTTAAATAAAAATGGTCACCTGAAGGACAACAGTAATGGCAGCCCAGCTAGCCTCACCTGTTAGGGAGTTCCAGAGAATGGGGACAGCAGTCATTCAGGCCTTCTCTCACATTCTACATTTCTTCAATTTTACACATGGAAGTAGAACAAAATGAGGGTGCACATAGTAAATACTACAGTTCTGGCTCTACTCTTTTTCTTAATGGCGGCAGTGGGTCTGGAGAAACACCCAAGTCCGGAGCAGTCTGATTGGCATGTTGCTTAGGGCTTTATAGGTGTTAGCTAGCATTTATGAATTGAGTGGTAGAACAAATCAGGATTTTGAGCATCCAAAAGAGTTATGTGGGGCAACTCAGTAGATGCAATAATGACAGAAGCATTTTATCACTGTCATGGAACAGGCCTTCAAAGTGTGTGACACACATATTCCAAAGGATCCATACTGAGTTTTTCACCATCATCACACTGCTCACAGTCTCACTTATTTACTTCTTTCATTGCCCCCAGCTCTCTGGAAAAACCAGAGAATTCATGTAGCTGTATTTGGTGGGAGAGAAGCCCAGGAATGATTGCATTAGTTGAGTCCACTTCCCTGTTTCAGAGATCGGTTTTCTGCATCCATAAGCCTTGTGAGATGATCTGTCTCAATTGATTCCCTGCTCCTGCCATGGCCAAACATATGTTTCCAGGAAACCAACGGGCAAATAAAGCATGGAAGACAACAGCCTTTTTCTGATTTTTTCTAATAGCAACCATAACACCTTACTAAATGTGCCTGTCTTTTATTTGAAAAAAAAAGCATTCAAAGATAGTCATGTTTAATAAAATAAAAGACACACATACTAGAATAGTAAAGATTTTATTCCATTTTTAGATGTTATCATACATGATGATGCTTGACTAACAAAGTAAAAAACAAAATGATTTGAAGAACATTTACAGTAGTTCCATATAAATTCAGACTTAAGAGTACGTGGCAAGTCTCCCTATGAAAGTGGAAACACACTACAGAAAGCTAAAATCCCACATTACCGTAACTTCTCCAAACTGATAATGTTCATTCCTTTATTGGACAAGAAGGCAAACTGTCAAACTTCTTAGTCAGAGTTACATGGGCTGCTTCATGAGCAGATCTTGAGAAGCACAGCTGGAAGTAAAGCATTCAGCATTTCTTTAATTTCCTATACGAAAGTAGGAAAAAACAGGATTGCATGCATTGAAGGGTACAATTCTGGTTCTACCCTCCCCTATACAGTTAGATTTCTAGCAAGCTGAATTCTGAAACAGATGCCACATTCCATGGTCTCACAGAACTCATCAGTTTTGTTATGGTGTACTTTGAGCTTGATGCTGTGTGCAACTAGCTGCAAATTGGACTGAGGATAGGTAGTTAGAAAACATTTACTTGCTGAAGCACAACAATCTCTTTTGTCTGCTTCCCTTGAAAAAGCTTCTTTTTTTTTTGCTCTAAATATGTTGAAGAACCTTTGATATGAATGGTTCCAGAAAATTTGCCCCTTTCCAACTGAAATAGTCCCATATTCTAACCATATTTGTATTGTTACATGTACTCATTTTTGCTATTGAAGCCTACTAGTGTACATTCTAAAGGAATTTATGATGCAAGCAAGTAAAAAATATTTACAAACAATTTATGCATAGTTCGTACATTTTAATTTGTACACATAATGCTTTCTGAATTTACAAGCTTTTGAAAAATATAGTAACATCTACATCTCATTAGCTATATATACAAAATATGGTTAAATATGGGGGGAACATATGTATTATATACACTTCAAAGAACAGAATTCTTGGACGAACAGAAGACTGTCACTTGGATGGAAGCAGTGCTGCATGTGCCATGTGGTTCAAGTTTCAGTAGTTTTCTATGTACTTGAGATCAAATCATCCTGGAAAACAATAAATTATATCTCATATATCAGAAGTAATTTGATGAAGTGTATAAAACTTGCTTCTGAAAGGAAGAAGCAAACTTAGGCTTCAAGAAGTTGCATCGGACTATTCAAAAGAAATAACTTGGGAATGAACTCCAATATTTTGGTAATTTCTTTGTCTGATATGTGTGCATGTGTGTGTGTGTGTGAGAAAGAGAGAGAGAAACAGATGGCTTCTAAGTCTAATTCTACAAACAATGGGTGTAATCTCAGAGAGAGAGAGAGAGAGAGAAACAGATGGCTTCCAAGTCTAATTCTACAAATGATAGGTGTAATCTTGTCTGGCTCATCATATAGAAATTCACACACTCACAATTCCTTTCGGCTGGATTTGGGTGACAGTGACAAAATATATAAATGAAGGAAAGCCCTGTTCTCCATGCTTGCAAATGAGGGTCTTTCAATAGTTTCTTGAATACTCACATTATAACAATTAGAAATAAGGGATTTTCAGCTAAGACAATTATTTATCGGCCTGGGACTTCTTTATTTGTATTCTATTCAGCCATGGTCTTTTCTCTTGGGCTTTTATTCACAGCCTTGCATGCTGTTTGTAATGTGAATGACTGAGAGGACTTTTCTGCACTGGGATGACTGTCTATCAAGCACTAACCAGTTGTTCCTTCCAGCTTTTGAAACTGAAAGAGACTTCTGCCTTCCTGATGAGTGTTCTATCCCTCTCTTTTATCAGTGGAGGCAATTTTTTTCCATTGCTCTTATTCAGTTGGTTGCTAGTTTGTGTGTAGTAAAGAAAGCAGTAAACACAAGTCTAATTTCAAGCAATTCTAAGTAAAAACATTTTCCTCTACAAACCAGTTGTTCCTTCCAGCTTTTGAAACTGAAAGAGACTTCTGCCTTCCTGATGAGTGTTCTATCCCTCTCTTTTATCAGTGGAGGCAATTTTTTTCCATTGCTCTTATTCAGTTGGTTGCTAGTTTGTGTGCAGTAAAGAAAGCAGTAAACACAAGTCTAATTTCAAGCAACTCTAAGTAAAAACATTTTCCCCTACAAATGTCTGAGTGAGTTATTGAGACTTTAAGTGTCATTTAATGAGAAAGGGTAAGACTCTGGAGAACTTGTAATTAATTCTCTGTGGATCCCTATACTTCTACTGTGTAGGGAAAAAAAAGAATTTTACAGAAATTCAAAATTCTGCAATGAGGTATGGGCCCAGAGAGCACAGCAACAAACTGATAGATAAAAAGTATCTTGGGGGCTTTGTTGTTTTTCAGAGTTTTTGTGATTTCCCCCCCCTCCTCATAACTTACCGAAGAGACTCATTTTTCCCTGAGATTTCGAGCCAACATTGATCAGAAAGAAAAGGAGGAAAAATGGCTCTTGATCACAGAAAGGCATTTTCTGAGAAACTTCTAGAGTTAACATCTCTGAATCCTCTTAGTAGAATGAAGTTTAATCTCACAGCTTTACAGGTACCTGGTTGTTTGCAAAGACAAAGACCAACAGAAACACAAGCCAAAGCTAAATGGGAAGATGAGGGTTCTATAGGAAAAGCAATAATTTCACAAAACCTCTCAGGTAAACCAGTGATCTATAGTAAAGCCTGCAAAATTTCCAAGGAGATGGTAGAAGCACTTGAGAAATCTTATGGCTTTTCTTACTTTATCAGAAGCAAGTTTTATTAGGGAACTTGTATAATTTTGTTTTAACAACAAACAAGATTGTGAAAAGTACATTTCTGCTCTATTAACAATATCTGACAGTTTAAGTTTAACTGACTTTCAACTGACTGATAGTAAATGGCATTTCTCACAGAATTGCTCAGCTAATAAAAGCTGTACTAGTTTTAAATCAAAAGAACAAAGGGACTGTGGAAAATACATAGAGCCTGACTCTGACAGAGAGATAAAAGAAGGGCTGGAAAGGGATTTAAACAGAAGGTGTGCATGACCCATAACTATGAACAGATATTAAATTATTGGACCATTGACTCAGGATGCACAAGTAATTATACAATGAAAAAATATTTCTTATAAATCTGGATGAAAGATCCAGTGGAAATATTGGAAATATTCAAATTGCTAATGGTGATTCGTGAAAATTGAAAAACGGGGGGGGGGGCTGGCACTTTGCAATGTGAACCGTTTGATGAAATAAATGAGAATACTATAAGTGATGTGTTGTTCCTGAACGACTATGCAACACGTTAAGTGCATCAGCTTTGGATGATAAAGGATTTTCTATACATTTTCTATACATTTGAAAATGGATACTGTACAGTAATGAAAGATGGTGAAATTCATTTTGAAGCATTTAAATCTAATAGTATCTATAAACTGAGTATTTTAGATGAACAGTAATAGATCAACAAATACAAGCACAGAGATTGTGCAATCATGACAGTGACATAGCTCTAGAACAGACTGCCAAGCAAAAGTAGCACACAAAAAAACCCATTTGAACTATGGCATGACAAATATGGAAGCCTGGCATATATGCCTGTATGCCAAAAAAGAAAAGGCACAAAGTGGATTCTAGAACTGAACAATTTTGCTTGGCTATTCTCCTAGCAGCAAAGGATATAAAGTGATGAACTTTAAAACAGGTGAAGTCAGCATAAGATATGTGGTTTTGATGAACAAAAGAAGGCTGACAAAAGAGGAACAGAAGACCTTGCATGTCCTACCTCACAAGGTTGTCGCAGATAAATGAGCCAGCAACCTGGAAGGAGATTGACCAGATGCTGGCAGCTGAAGCCAGCAGATGGAGAGAAGCTGCAAAGGAAGAGATAGAAACAGTACACAAGAATGAGACATGGACACTGACTAAGCTACTACCAGGCAAGAAAGCCATTGGGTGAAGGTGTTTATTCAAGCAGAAACAAGGTGCAAGTGGAGAAGTGAAGCACTGTAAGGCAAGACTAGTTGCAAAACTGCTCCTACAAAAATATGGAGAAGATTTTAATGAAACCTTTGCTTCAGCTTTCAAGCACAACATAATAATGCTCCTGAGTATGGTAGTCTCCAGAAACATGAAAGTTAAGTATCTAGACTTCAAGACTACATTTCTACATGGAGAGACTGCAGAGGAGCTGTATATGGAACGGTCACTGGGTTCCTCTACCAGAAAATCCTGATTTTTTATGGAAACTAAAGAAAGGACTATATGGAGAATTTTACTAGAAACTCAAAACTCTGCAACATTTTTCAGGTTGCTTCCCAACTAAGGAATGGGGTTAATGGCACATGGCTAAAGAGGATTCCTTCATAGTTTTTTATAAGACATTAGTCTTATAAAAGTACCAAAAACAAAACAACACTATGGGCAAAATTCTCTCACTTACCTATGTAGGCATAACTCAATGTCATGCTTGAGGTAGCTTCAGAAGTGCCAAGCCATAAGTGCTATTCGTAAAGCACTTCAACTGGTACATTGAACAGCAGCAGCAGTGGGACTCATATGATAATTGCACGATTGAATCATGTAATTCCCTGTTGTACATTATACATGCACAGATAGAATTTGTACTTCAAGACTAGCAGTTTTAGTGTCATGTGTGTTTTCATAGATTGCAATCAACTTTAGACAACCACAGAATACAATATTTAGGCTACATATATATGTAGCCTAAATATTGTATTCTGTGGTTGTCTAAAGTTGATTGCCTGTACAACTGTTAGACATAACATGTCCAAAGTCAGAATACTGTACTCATGAGGCTGACCATCTTCTTCAGGAGGAGATTACACTACAACGTTTCTCTAATACAATCAACTAATTTTATTTTCAGTTCAAGATAATCTACCACCTGCTGTGTTTCAACTTCTAGGATGCCTCAGGATGTCCATTTAAAGTATGCAGGGTTATAAGCATTAAAGAAGGTACTGTCTTTGATTTTCAAAATCTTGGTTCATGGGGGCCCATGTTACCATAACATCACTTACTCCAGTATTCCATCATGATCACGATCGTGATCAAGATCAAGATTGAAGGTACAGGGCACGAAGAGGTGCACATATATAGGTTCATTCAAATGAAATAAATGAGTTTGTGCAACAATGTTGTTTGTTGTTGTTTAGTAGTTAAGTTGTGTCCGACTCTTCATGTCCCCATGGACCAGAGCATACCAGGGCCTCCTGTCTTCAACTGCCTCCCAGCATTGGGTCAAATTCATGTTGGTAGCTTAGGTGACATTGTCCAACTATCTCATCCTCTGTCATCCCCTTCTCCTCTTGCCTTCACACTTTCTCAACATCAGGGTCTTTTCCAGTGAGTCTGCTCTTCTCATGAGATGGCCAAAGTACTGGAGCCTCAGCTTCAGGATCTGTCCTTCCAGTGAGCATTCAGGGTTGATTTCTTTCAAAGTTGATTGTTTTGTTCTCCTTGCAGTCCAGGGGACTCTCAAGAGGCTCCTCCAGCACCACAATTCAAAAGCATCAATTCTTCGGCAGTCAGCCTTCTTTATGCTCCAGCTCTCATTTCCATACATCAATACTAAAAAAACCCATAGCTTTGACTATGCGGACCTTTGTTAGCAAGGTGATGTCTCTGCTTTTTAAGATACTGTCTAGGTTTTTCATCGCTTTTCTCCCAAGAAGCAGCCGTCTTTAATTTCATGGTTGCTGTCACCATTTTCAATGATCATGGAGCCCAAGAAAGTAAAATCTGTCACTGCCTCCACATCTTCCCCTTCTATTTGCCAGGAGGTGATGGGACCAGTGGCCATGACCTTCATTTTTTCATGTTGAGCTTCAGACCATTTTTTTGCGCTCTCCTCTTTCACCCTGATTAAGAGGTTCTTTAATTCCTCCTTATTTACTGCCATCAGACTGATATCATCTGCATATCTGAGGCTGTTGATATTTCTTCCAGCAATCTTAATTCCGGCTCCGGATTCCTCCAGTCCAGCCTTTTGCATGATGTATTCTGCATATAAGTTAAATAAGCAGGGAGACAATATACAGCCTTGTTGTACTCCTTTCCCAATTTTGAGCCAATCAGTTGTTCCATAGCCAGTTCTAACTGTTGCTTACTGTCCCACATATAGATTTCACTCAGATGGAGAAGGTGGCCAGGTACGCCCATTTCTTTAAGAACTTACCATAGTTTGTTGTGGTTCACACAGTCAAACACATTTGTGTATTCAATGAAGCAGAAGTAGATGTTTTTCTGGAAGTCTCTGGCTTTCTCCATAATCCAGTACATGTTAGCAATTTGGTCTCTAGTTCCTCTGCTCCTTCAAAATCCAGCCTGTACTTTAGGGAGTTCTCAGTCCACATACTGCTAAAGCCTACTTTGTAGGATTTTGAGCATAACCTTGCTAGCATGTGAAATGAGTGCAATTGTACGGTAGTTGAATCATCGCCTCCACTGGCCTTGTTATTAGCCATGCTTTCTAAGGCCCACATGACTTTGCTCTCCAGGATGTCCTGCTCAAGGTCAGCAACCACACTACCTGGGTTGTCTGAGACATCCCTATCTTTCTGGAATAATTCATCTTTGTATTCTTGCCACCTCTTCTTGATATCTTCTGCTTCTGTGAGGTCCCTACCATTTTTGTCCTTTATCATGTCCATCTTTGCACAAAATGTTCCTTTAATATTTCCATTTTTCTTGAACAGATCCTTGGTTTTTCCCTTTATATTATTTTCCTCTATTTCTTTGCACTACTCATTTAAGAAGGCCCTCTTGCCTCTCCTTGCTATTCTTTGGAAGTCAGCCATATAACAGCAAGAACTGTTATGCCTTGCAGCAATATTGCCACACAGTACACCCCATAACACTGCAGGAACACAAGCAAAATTCTGAAAAGTGAAATTTTTGAGAAAGAGAGAGTGATAATTTGCAGAAGAAGGGAACAGAAGAAAAATGCAATTATAATATAATGTAAATATTCAGGAACTTCTCCAATATTATTGAAGCATGCAAATCAGGTTTTCAAAGATTTTATCCTGGTCTAATTTGATTAGTTATGTTTTAGAAAATTTAAAGGGATCAATTTATCGTAAAAGTGAGAAAAATTCAATTACTTACTCAATATATTGACTGTCAAACCATGGTTGAGAAGCCTAATATATGAGAAGTTTTGTTCTGACGGAGGAGGAAGGGAAATCAAAATCAACATGATTTATTAAGAATAATCTGGACCCTACTGAGAGTTAAAATACCTTTTATTTGCTTTGTCCCACTACATCGCATTTCTCTGGTATTTTTCTTAACTCATTTAAATAATGCCCCCAAAATGTAAAAATGTTGTGATGCAATTTTTGAATTTAGTCAAAAAAGAATAACACTGCAAGGTAAACTTTGCAAAGATTTTACAACATTTTTAAGAAAAATAATAAAAGACAGAAACATACACTTTTATCTCTTACACTGCAATCCTAAAGCCATTGGAGAGGTTGTATCTCTCCCTCTGCAGTGGGAGATAGGTCCAAACACTGAGAAGGAAATCGATCTTATTTTGGAAGAATTATGGCATCAATGGAATTGGAGCTAGAGTTGGGGATATTGGTATTCGTATACGAATACTCCCATCTCAAATTGGGGCTATAACAAGGAGAGAAATTGAGAGGGTTTCTCTTTGACTCTCTCCCATATTGCCAAGGCAAGAGGAGGGATTTCAACCAACTTGAGAACAGGTAGAGAAAACAGCTGTATTAAGAAAAACTAAAACAGGAGGAAAGGATCAGCACACACTGCTGCATTCACCTTTCTCCTTCCATCGGGAGCCCCCCCCCAAAATAGGGAAGGAAGCTAACTTTACAGCAGGAAATGAAAAAAATGCAAGGAACTAATTATCTGCAGATAAGAAAACACAACAAACAAAACAGCTGTATTCCACACAGGATTTCAGGCAGCCTTCTCCTGGTGGCCAGTTGCTGAGGATCAGCTCCAGCATTTGTCTGTCCACAAGGTAGATGATAATAATTTTTAAAATATAGGCAAACATGCTATAAATAAGCAAAGATTTTGAAAAAGAAAGAAATACAGTTGTCTAGTATGCAGGGCCTATAATAAGGGGGAGAGGGGCAGGAGGGCCATTTGGTCTAGGTCTCACATTCATTGAGATTCTCAAATTTAACCTATACAGTACGACAGTTTTTGCAACCTTCTTTTGGCATTTCTTCATTTTTAATTTACCAAGAATGTCAAAGAGAAGAAAGAAAGAACAAAAGAAAGGAAGAAAGGAAAGAAAGAAAGAAATTGTATTCTTGAAGGCTTTCACAGCCAGGATCCAATGGTTGTTGTAGGTTTTTCAGGCTGTCTGGCTGTGTTCTTGAGGTTTTTCTTCCTAACATTTCGCCAGTCTCTGTGGCCGGCATCTTCAGAGGATAAGAGTCAGAACTCTGTCTGCGCTATGGTGCTGTTTGTGGGATAGTTGAGTAGTTATAGCTGTGGAAAGAAATTATTTGGGCTGTCCTCAACCTCTGAGAAGCCTTATCAATATGTACATACTATGCTGTCACCAGAAGTAAGCTAGCAAAAAATAAGCCTTCCTGAGTCTCAGCCCTGAGATAAAGTCAAAGGGATAAGAACTTTATGTTGTCAGTTTTGGAGTTAGAAAGTGATACCCAGAGAGGCCAGGGCCTGATCAGACAGAAAGCGGTAAGGAACCTGACTAGATAGGGAAAGAGTTTGTCTGCAGTTCGTCCCGTATGATGGAGGAAAAAGAGGAATGGTAATAGTGAATGACAGAACCTCTCAAGCCAAGCCAAGTGAAAAAAGAATAGTCTACTTTGATTCTGTCTCCTACTTTAATATGTCCTTAGAGATCTTGAAAATACTTATTTCAGCAGGGAGGTCTGTCAACCATGTTACATTTCTGCTAATATTCTTGGATGACCAGTACCAGCCATATACTATAGTGTCTAATACGATGGTCTGTTGGTCACTCTACTGTAATCACCAATGGAACACAGAATTCTTGTGCTGTTGGTAATTGATTTCAGAATATGCTGAGGAGCTTCTAACTTACTGTGAAATAATGTAGTGACTTGTCCTGATTTAGCAAGAATAGAAAGACATTCTTTAACCTTTTGGGGAGAATAGGATGCAAAACACAAAGGAAGAAACCATTGAGGAGAGGAGGCTGTTTGATGTGAGAGTAACAAAGAAAAAATACTGTAATGTAAAACCTTTTTAGAGTATAAAATATGTAAAAAGATGAAGGGAGTATTGTGATGGTGAAGCTGTGTCCTGGATAAAGAATGAAAGAATACATAATGGCAGATATCCCTCCCTGAGGACACCACTACAATTGTCCCCAGAAATTTACAGCTGTAGAAGAAAAATCGGTGTTTTGGGAGCCTTGTCAATTCACAGTACTGGCATAAGAGTTTATGAGTCCTGGAACGTTTTTTGAATAAATGCTGTTCCCCCTCAAAATGCTCTAGAATCCTCTCAGTGTGGCAGAAGTTCTTTGACAGAGAAACAACACAGAAAGTAAAATGCAGTCCAGTGTTAACTGGAAGCAGAAAGTCTGGAAACTGCTAGTATAAAATTACTGGACTTGTCTAGCCTAATATTGATCTGCTTTTAGAATGCTTTATTATACAATGTTAGATAAAAATGTTTTAAAAACTGAGTATTCTGTTAATTTGCAAGCTTTTAAAGAGAGGCATTGGATTGTTGTTCTGTTTTAAGTTTGTGGTTGATGGATAGGTCAGTTTCTTTCCAGCTCTAGCATTTTGCAGGAATAGAAGAATGGATTACGCATAGAGCTCAAAGGGATAGTGAAGGTTATATAGCTTCAAAAGTCAGTTTCTCTGTGGCCGGCATCTATAGGATATCTCTATATAGTATAGGATATCTTGTATGTACTGCAGTTCAATTCAGATCATGCCAAAATTATGGTTAAGGAAACTTTGGGGTGTGGCATGCTATCTCCTCATGCCAAACCCCAATACTGTATTATCATTTAAAATCACCACCAAGAAACCTGACTTAAAATGAGTTTGCACACTATGGTTTGCACTAATTTTGCTTGTATATGCACCTCAAATGACAAACCTAAGTGTGGTTATTCTACCTTGGGAGGTTTCTCTAGCACAGAAGAGGGTGTTCATCAAACAGAACATTTGAACAGACAAGCTGCTTCTCATCTTGGTTTTCCTATCATATATTTGAAAATCCACGTATATTTGGAAATCCAATCATATATTTGGAAATCCAATCAGCAGCTCTTTAATATATTGGCCAAATGTGTGCTAGCCATTTTAACAGTGAAGACTTTTATTTCTTTACTTACAAAGGTACTTACAGTTGTGCTATATTCTTTGCTTGGTTTTGGCCTGGGGTTCTTCTCTGAGAGGGCAGGAGATACACATTCCAATGGAAACTTAAGCCCTTCATCAACAAAAGTCTTGTTATTGAGTGGGGAAAATTCGTCCTGGACAGAGCTACCAAAGCCACATGTACTTTCTCCTGATGTGCACTGGGATGACTCAGAACTCTCTGTCACTAAAGGAAACAGGAAGGAAGAAGGTTCTGACATTAGAGGATGCTATTTGTCTGTTTTCCCAAAAGAAATAAAACAATGCATCTAAAAGATCATCCGTGATATTTGAGACAATGGTCCTCTGTAAATTGTAACATACATGCTGCTAATATTTCAACAATATACAGAACAGCTTTAGCATAATTGTATAGCTAATAAACTGTGCGAAGACATTGTCAAGCTGGTGTGAGACTTGAACCAGGGACCCTGGAGACAATGATTCGGTCTTGGCACCCCACCTAGCCAATGAAAGAAGAGAATTGAAGGGAAATCAGAAGCCTGTTTCCACTAATGGGTTGATCTGATGAATCTCGAAAGCTTAAGGATGACTAGTCATGTCACCATGCCCTACATAACTTTCTGTCCCCCCTAAGATTACAGAATTGAATAAAAATTCATAATATGCAGTATGCTTTTTTAAAATGTAATTTATATGTTGCATTCAATATTGCTTTGTGTATAATTTCTTCATGATTCTATATACATTTGTTTTGCTACAATGTTTTGTTTCTACTGTCATTGCTGTTACTATTTTGCCCTCTAGTTATTGAATACACACATATAAGAAAATACTATAAAAGAATTATAAAGTCCTGTAATTAGAAGCTGCAAGAGTGTGTTCAGGTTTTTCTAGATAAATTCTCATTTCAAGCACAGCAACAATGAGGACCAAAAGACTTGGTTTGTGATCCACATCAGCAGTGTGCTACCCTAGAAGTCCCCAGAATCCTATAAAGTGTGCTAAAGTTATAGAAAAGCTGCAGGTTTTCTTAACCAGTTAAGTTGATGCAGAAGGGATTCCCCCAAAGACTGATGTATATCACTGTGGCATGTGATGCAATCATAAATTAAGCAACTCAGTTGCAATTTTGCTCTATTCAGTGGTACAACCATATACTGTATTTTCAAAACTACTACTAACTGCACAAGTAGCAACTGCTTAGAACCAGCTAAATATTTACAATGTAAACTGCAATTAGTCAGAGCAATCAATGGTACAATTTGAAGTTATTCCTCGGAAAGCACTGTCATAGTATTATAGACTGGTTCTCATGTTTAAATAAAGTGTCCAAATTTTGGACAAATGCCATAGCTTGTGGCAGTTCTCTGATAAAACAGTGATTCCACCCCTCCCCCAGTGTTTCAATGCTTATGACATAAACTTTATATACTATGTGAACACACTGTCTGGCATAATGTACACTGCATGTTCTGTTTTGTTTTCTACTGCACAATTTGTTTGGTGCTGGTCTTTGACCATAATAAATTCAAATTCAAATTCAATTTATATTTATTCAGCACAAGAGGTATTGCCTGGCACTTATTATTCATCTTCCCTGCTTGTGGTGGTGCAGTACACTCACTCATTGACTATTCAGCACAAGAGGTATTGCCTGGCACTCATTCATCTTCCCTGCTTCTGGTGGTGCAGTACACTCACTCATTGAAGGCTGACTTCCAATGTCCTGTTCCAACTCATCTTCTTCAATACAGGTTCTGACATCATATGACCAGTGATAGAAAGGTGGCCCAACTAAGCCAGAATGAGATGGGGTAGAATATATATGCAGGTTTAGTGAACCCAGGATGGAGGAGGAGGACTGGCTGCTTGAGGAAGACGTACTGCTGTTTGAGATTGTGGAATGTGGCCTTTTAAATGGTGTGGAATGATCAAACGAAGAAACAGCAACTGAGGCACGGGTCCTTGACTCTGAGAAAACAAACAAAAATCCTTTGGTCATCTTACAGAACACTCAAATAAACAAACACCAAAGTAAAGGGGAAAGATAATTGGAGAAACATCATATTTTGAATGGATCTTAGTTAAACAAAGTGAACCTCTGGATCAGTATTACACTTCAGCATCTGCACACCCTGGAACACAACCAGCACCTCAAAAATAGACAGCAGTTTGCCACCACAGCTCGTGCAAGTGTAAATGTATCAAAAGATTTTGGCCATAGTATAGAAGCTGAGTTGGATCAATGGTCTAACTCAATAGAAGGCAGTTTTATATATTGGCTATAATCATGTTACTTAGGTATGCCAGCATTCAATGCAACAGTGTAAATAAAAGCGGCAAATTTCTGCTATTTAAGGAGTTGCCACTTGAATTCCTTTTTCCATGCCAGTCACATCAGTTGGTGCTTGGAAAGCATACAAATAACCATTTAGTAACCAGCAGCTGTTTGTCACTATGATTTATGTTATTGCACTTATACTGGTATAGGTACGCAATAAGATTTTGGCCATTATTATGTGAGCATACTTTCAAGGGTCCCAGAATTGTTCAAGTCGAGCCAAGCCTCTCATTCAGAGACGGTGACTTTGGACGTCTTGAAATGCTTCTTTGTGTACTATTGTATGGCCACAATTACTATTTTGATGATCTGCTATGGAGAAAATAACGTGCCATTACTACTCATAATGAGGTAGCTGCATAGTATAAACAGTTACTGGATCAGTAGTGCATGCCAGGTTGAGCCATCAAGTCAGAACCAACTTATTGGGACCCTCTGAGTGGACCAGGCTGCAGCTTAAGACAAACAGAATCATCACAGGATGAGGGTTACACTTGACAATATAATTAGTATATTATTATAAGCAGTGCTCCTTTAACTGGCGAAAGACATCTCATATCCTATAACATGTTTCTGCTCATCTTGCATTTTAGTGTGTTTTGGTTAGTGCTCATTCCTTGAAAGGTAACACCATCTTCATCTAATAATTCAGGCACCTAATTTGGGGGGAAACATCTTGTAGGAAGAAAAGCAAGCTAATGGTGGGAAATGGGCACGTTCCTTAACATCTACAGATTGGTCTTGATATCTTTTTACTGCCGTGCTTAGGATACAAGAATTTCTTTAGGTACAACTAAGGGATTGACAATGCTTCTTGGATACTGACTATTCAAACAGAAAATGCTGGACACCTTAGTGACAAAAGTAGTTTACCTTGTGGTCAGTGGAGGAGATTTTGAGAAACATGCAAAGCTTTCTTCAGGATGCAAATCTATTTGCTCGTGTTTTTACACTTAGAAAAAGTCATGTAATAAAAGTTTTGCAAGAAGCAAACAAAATGATTCAAGTTGCCCAAGAAGTGGTCTTAAATGTCAAACCATACCTGCTCCTTTCATTATATAGTCTATAGCTCGATCATTTATAGCTGCATCACTGGGCTTAATATCCATGAATGGCTTATTTCCAATGCCCATGGATACCATTTCTTGCATTCGGAGTTCTGAAAAAAAGCAATCAAGACCATGAGAGAAACACTTTTCAAATAATTTCTTACTTATGACAGAAAGTGCTTTACAGTAAGGAACCCAATACTACACTTAAAAATCAATGCTTACAATGAAAGCAATGCAGGTTAAAACTAAAGAATAGATACACTACAGCATTGATTTCAGTTCTGCATCTTGTTGAACTACATTTTAATTCTACAAAAATAATGCTTTTTCATTTAGATGTAAAGGGTTTCAAAATAAAAATTATCTTGTTGAAAAGAGAATATAGCCCAGACACACAGTTGAGGAGTTACAGTGAAAACAGAACATTGGACTTAACTGTGAAATGTCTCTTCTACTTAAGAGATGGGCGGATATCCTTTATCTGTTGTGTACTGAGTTGTGAGACTTGGTATGCAACAGACAAGGTTCATAGGATTTTACCAAAGTATCTATGAGAAGTTACCTAAATAAACCAGTAATAAACCCAACTGGACACAAAATAGAAGGAAATTCAATATTACATGAGCAAAAATCCAGTCAACAATTCAAGTTCCACCTTTCCATTGCTGCCCCACATTACAGCCTGCAGCCACTTGAAATGGAATTTGAGCATGGAATGGTTGATGCTCTGCATCCCAGGGAATCATCTTATCAAGGATGAGTTACACTTTCAGCATGTCATTATAGTTATTCCTCCTAAAAGTAATATTAAAACTCTTGTGCTTATATAAGAATTAAGCCCTTCCTCATTTTGCAGATGAAAACAGTTCCATCAGTGAAGAGGCTTAACAGAAAACCACCCTAAGAAAATAGTTTGGGAGCAGGGAAGAAGAGGCTGCATTGAATCAATTTCAGAGCGAAATAATAGAAACAGGATTCATAGGGCTATTCATGGCTTCACTAGGTGGAGGCAAGAGTAGAAGGAACACTCAGACCAGATTCAATTTTTAATCTCCCTTAGAATAGGAGTACCTCCTAGGAAGCAATGTGTAAATTAGGTGCAGCCCTATCCCAAGTGGGTAGTTGTCTGAAATAAAAAGTCTTAAAACAGTGCAATACTCTTCCTTCTGTTTGCTGTCAATTTCTGATGAAAAGTCAGAAGGACTAGTGAGTGGAATTAGGACTGCCAGGTCTTGGACTTTCACCAAATCCAGATTTCAAGCTTTTGTTCTGAAATCTCAGGGGATAGAACACTACTGACCTAGAAGGCCTACATTTTGAAGTTCCCTCTCATGATCTCAAGAAAGCCATAAAACATGCTCAAAACTATCCTTGTGCTCTTTACAATCTTTTAATTGTCTTGCATCCTCTAAAGCTGCCGCTGCTGGAAGTCACAGTTAACAACCTGGCTACTCCTTGTCTTGTTTTTATTGAATGTGTGATTGACAGGTCAGTAACCACTCCTGTCCATCACAATGGAACCCTGATTCAAGAGCCAATGGCTGTACAGAAAAGGCGGGACTAGGGATATATAAGAGAATGGATGACAGTTAAAGAGCAGTTAGAGTCTGTGTTAGAGTTAGAGAGGATTTCAGTTAGATTTAGAGTCTGAGTTTTGGTATTAGAGTTTCAGTTAGGGATCAGTTAGGACCAGCCTTGTGTTAGAGAAGAGTAATAGGGAGATAGGGAATAAGAAAAGAAATAAATAAATACTTGAAGTAACATGATTCTATCTAAGCAAATATAAATGTTATAAAAGCACAGTTGATTGCATGAATAAAATAAGACCATCCATGATTTACTTTACATGATTTACTTGTGAACACTTTAATAAACATTGTAAAATCGAATAACACTGATTGAAGAGATATATTTGGTATAGTGAGGAATATCTCCTCTGGTGGCAGCGGAAAAAAGGGTTGAAAAATAAATGTCACACCCAAAAGTGAACCTGGGTTGTGTGGAGAAACAAACAGGGGAATGGATGCGTGACAGAATGCATCCTGGAATTGGGATCCTAACCATTTACTAGCTTGAATGCTGGGGTTAGACACTGAGAAAGAGCCTCTTGTTCTTGTTTAGTCTTTAAGTCTTGTCCAACTCTTCGTGACCCCATGGATCAGAGCACGCCAGGCTCTCATGTCTTCCACTGCCTCCCAGAGTCTGGTCAAATTCATGTTGGTAGCTTCGATGACGCTGTCCACACATCTCGTCCTCTGTCATCCCCTTCTCCTCTTGCCTTCACACTTTCCCAACATCAAGGTCTTTTCCAGGGAGTCTTCTCTTCTCATCAGATGGCCAAAGTATTGGAGCCTCAGCTTCAGGATCTGTCGTTCCAGTGAGCACTCAGGGTTGATTTCCATTAGAATTGATACGTTTGTTCTTCTTGCAGTCCAGAGGACTCTCAAGAGCCTCCTTCAGCACCACAATTCAAAAGCATCAGTTCTTCGGTGGTCAGCCTTCTTTATGGTCAGCTCTCACTTCCATACATCGCTACTGGAAAAACCATAGCTTTGACTATGTGGACATTTGTCAGCATGGTGATGTCTCTGCTTTTTAAGATGCTGTCAAGGTTTGTCATTGCTTTCCTCCCAAGAAGCAGGCGTCTTTTAATTTCGTGGTTGCTGTCACCATCTACAGTGATCATGGAGCCCAAGAAGGTAAAATCTGTCACTGCCTCCATATCTTCCCCTTCTATTTGCCAGGAGGTGATGGGACCAGTGGCCATGATCTTAG